CTGGAAAATTAAAAAAAAAATAAAAATAAAACTAACAATTATTAAACGAAAAATTGTGATACTGAAACACTGAAAAGTTAAAAACTAAGAGATTGAAAAATTGAAACATTTAAAATTTGAAAAATCGAAAAATAGAGTTCGAAAATAAAAAATTGAATAAACGAAAAATACAAACTAAAAAACTAAAGAAGTGGAAAATAGAAAAACTGAAAAATTAGAAATCGGAAAATTGAAAGAACAAAAAACTGTAACATTGAGATATCGAAAAATGAAAAAAGTATTAATCGAGAAACTTAAAAATCGAAGAATCATAAAATTGAAACATCGAAAAAAACGTCGAGAAAATTAAATTTCCAAAAAATTTCAAAAAAGCTTTCAATTTTTATTTAGTAATTTTTCAATTTTTATTTCCACGTTTACGATTTTCAATTTTTTATTTCCTCGAATTTTACTTTTTTAGCTTTCCAACAAAAGGAATAAATATATTTATCATGAAATTTTCAAAAACCTAAAAGTCGAAAAACGAACATTCAAAATCCAAAAATAAAAAATTAACAGTCAAATTACTGAGAAAACAAAAAATTACAAAATTTAAAAAATTAAATCTCGAAAAATTGAGATCAAAAATAAAAACTAAGAAATTCAAATATCAAAAATTGACAAATCAAAAATACTAAAAAACAAACATTAAAATACCTAAAAATTGCAAATAAAAAAAAGGAATGGAAAATAGAAAAATTAAAAAGTCAGAAATCGGAAATTTGAAAGAATGAAAAATTGAAATATTGGAATATCGAAGTATGTTTTCAAAAATTGAAGAATTGAATTTTTCAATCTTCATTTTGCAATTTTTCGATGTTTATATTTTCCCGTTTTCGATTTTCAATTTTTCGTTTTCTGGAATGTTAATTTTTCAAAATCTAAAAGTGGAAAAACAAAATAACAAAATCGAAAAAAAAATTACAATCAAATAACTGAGAAAACCAAAAATTACAAAATCTAAACATTGAAAAATCGAAAGATCAGTAGGGCGAAAAATCAAAACTTGAAAAATTGAATCATTGAAGAACAAAACACCCAAAATTAAACACATTTTAATTTGAAAAATTATCAAAAAAAAATGTCTAAAATTAAAATATCCGAAACTGAAGACGAAAAATTGAAAAATTTTAAACTGGAAAAAAAATTAAATGTTTATGTACTGAAAAAATAATAACATTGGGAAAATGAAAAATTAAACATCTAGAAACTGAAAATCGGAAAATTGAAAAATAAAACAATTGAGGAAACGGATAATAAAAATATTTAAATGTTAACAACCGAAAAAGTGCAAATAATAAAAATTGGGTAAATGGAAGATAGAAAAATCAATCGTTCGATTTTTATATTTTCACGTTTTCTATTTTCAATTTTTCATTTTCTCGAGTTTTAATTTTCTTAAGAAATGGAAAATAGAAAAACCGAAACTTTAATAATTGGAATATTCAAAGAACAAAAAATTGTAACGCTGAAACATCGAAAGATTAAAAAATAAATAATCGAGAAATTTAAAAAATCGAAGAATCACAAATACGAAATCGAAATAGAAAAAAATGGATCCAAAGTAAAATATCAAAATATTGAAGGAACGAAGAGTTGAAACATTTATAAATAGAAAATTTCAATATTTATTAACCAATTTTTCGATTTCTATTTTTTCGGGTTAACGGAATTTTCATCTTTCATTTTTGCGAATTTAAATTTTTCAATTTTTTAAGAAAAAGAACAAATTTATTCAAAACTGAAAATTCATTTTACAATTTTTCATTTCTTTTCTTTTCTTTAATTCTACAACATGCAACTTTGCGAGTTTTTAAATTTTTCACAACTTTTCTGTTCGATCTGCAATTTTTCGTTTCGGTTTTCTATTTTTGTTTATTTGTTCAATTATTCGATTTTTCAATATTTCGATTTTACAATTTTTTTTCAGTTTTAATTCCACCAGTTTTTCGATTTGGGAATTTTAAATTTTTCAATTTTTTGCTTCAATTTTTAGATTTTGCAATTTTTCAATTTAAAATTTCTCCAGTTTTCGGTTTTTAATCCCTCAATTTTTCGATTTGCAATTTCACGAGTTTTCAGTGTTTAATTTTTTGATAAATAGAAAAAATGCCAACGAAAAATACAAATATTAAAAAACAAAAAAAATTAAAATAAAAAATAAAAATTTTTTTAAAAATCTAAAAAAATGGCTATAAGTTCAAAATTGAAAAGATGAAAAATTGAAAAATTTTAAACTGAAAACTGTTCGAATTTTTTAATTTTATTTTTCAATTTTTTGATTTAAAAAAAACGCTATTGTTAATGAACTGAAAACAAAGTAACATGGGGAAAATGAGAATTTGGAAAATTGAAAGATGAGGAAAATATATATTTTTTTTTATTTTTCAGTTTTTCGATTTTTTTTTCAGTTTTTCAACGAAAAGATCAAATCTACTTAAAACTGAAATTTTGAAAAATCGCAAAGGCTGAAAATGAAAATCAAAATCGAAAAATCAAATTCTCCTACATAATAATAATTGATAAATACCTCCAAAATTTGAGGCACTAAATAGTTAAAAATGAAGGAATCGGAAAATAAAAAAAAATAAAAATTAAATACAGATCAAAAATAAAAGCAATTATATCACGAATTCAAAAATCAAAAATTGAAAAATGGAAACATTGAGAAAACGAAAAAAAAATACCTAGGCGTCAACAACCCAGAAAGTGAAGTAACTGTAAAATTGTAAAACTGAAAAATTCAACGATCTGTTAATCCAAAAAATAAAAATAAAACTAGAAACGTCAGATTGAAAAGTGATAAATAGCGAAAACGAAAAATTAAAAAATTGAAACATCGGGAAAATAAATCAAAATATTGAATAACAGAAAAATTTTAAACTTGAAAAATCGAAAAATATAGATCAAAAATAAATATTCAGAAATTCAAAATCAAAAATTGAAAAATCGAAAAGACGAAAAATACAAATATCTAGAAATTGACAAACCGAAAAATTACTAATCAAAAAACTAAAGAAACGGAAAAATCAGAAATCCGAGAATTGAAAGAACAAACAACAATAACACTGAAACATCGAAAATGAAATAGTAATGGGGAAATTTAAAAATCGAAGAATCACAAAATTGAAACATCGAAAAAAAATTAAATCTCCAAAAATTTTTCAATTTTTATTAAGCAGTTTTTCGATTTTTATATTTTCACGTTTTCGATTTTCAATTTGTCATTTTCTCCAATTTTATGTTTTCAGTTTCTCAACAAAACCAACAAATATTGAAAAATTAAAATTTTGAAAAATAAAAATACCTAGATGTCACCAAAAGAAAAAGTGCAAATCAAAAATTTGAGGAAATGGAAAATAGAAAAATCTAAATATTAAAAATTAGAATATTGAAAGAAAAAATTGTAACGCTGAAACAACGAAAAATTAAAAAATCGAACAATCGCAAAATCGAAATCGAAAGAGAAAAAAATGGATAGAAAGTAAAATATCAAAATATTGAAGAAACGAAAAATTGAAACATTTAATAAAATGGAAAATTTTAATTTTTAGTAAGCAATTTTTCCATTGTTATTTTTTCACATTATGGAATTTTCATCTTTAATTTTTTCGAACTTTAAATTTTCAATTTTTCAGCAAAAAGAACAAATTTATTATTCAAAACTAAAAATTTGAAAAATCGGTATATTAAATAATGGAAAATGAAAAATCGTAAAATTGTAAAACTGGAAAATTAAAAAAATTAAAAATAAAACTAGCAATTACTAAACGAAAAATTGTAATACTGAAACACTGAAAAGTTAAAAACTAAGAGATTGAAAAATTGAAACATTTAAAATTTGAAAAATCGAAAAATAGAGTTCGAAAATAAAAGTGGGAATGTCAAAAATAAAAAATTGAATAAACGAAAAATACAAACTAAAAAACTAAAGAAATGGAAAATAGAAAAACTGAAAAATTAGAAATCGGAAAATTGAAAGAAAAAAACTGTAACATTGAGACATCGAAAAATGAAAAAAGTAATAATCGAGAAACTTAAAAATCGAAGAATCATAAAATTGAAACATCGAAAAAAACGTCTAGAAAATTAAATTTCCAAAAAATTTCAAAAAAGTTTTCAGTTTTTATTTAGTAATTTTTCGATTTTTATTTCCACGTTTACGATTTTCAATTTTTTATTTCCTCGAATTTTACTTTTATAGCTTTTCAACAAAAGGAATACATATATTTATAATGAAATTTTGAAAAACCTAAAAGTCGAAAAACGAACATTCAAAATCCAAAAATAAAAAATTAACAGTCAAATTACTGAGAAAACAAAAAATTACAAAATTTAAGAAATGAAATCTCGAAAAATAGAGATCAAAAATAAAAACTAAGAAATTCAAATATCAAAAATTGACAAATCAAAAATACTAAAAAAACAAAACATTAAAATACCTAAAAATTGCAAATAAAAAAAAGGAATGGAAAATAGAAAAACTAAAAAAGTCAGAAATCGGAAATTTGAAAGAATAAAAAATTGAAATATTGGAACATCGAAGTATGTTTCCAAAAATTGAAGAATTGAATTTTTCAATCTTCATTTTGCAATTTTTCGATTTTTATATTTTCCCGTTTTCGATTTTCAATTTTTCGTTTTCTGGAATGTTAATTTTTCAAAATCTAAAAGTGGAAAAACAAAATAACAAAATCGAAAAAAAAAAATTACAATCAAATAACAGAAAACCAAAAATTGACTTGACTCAACGTCGGTTCCAGGTCTCTTAAATCAGCCACCAGTCTCGGGAACTGATTTCGTAAGCTCTGTGGAGAAACCAATTGACTTGATCGAACAAGTAAAAGTAAGTAAAACGAGGTTCTATAGCGTTCGGGGATTTCGTAGGACGAGTAGGTGCGTTTTCCAAGAAAATTTAGTACTTGACCCTTCAAACCCATCGTGGTGACAGTTATGACACATGACTTTATCAGAATTTTATTGAGATAAATCAATAACAAATGGTGTAAGTAGTATTATGTACATAAAATACGAGTGAGTGAAACAATACGCGATCATAAATACTGGTAAAGTTCTTAAGGTATCGGAGAACGTTTAGAACGTAAGGCCAGCTTCTGAGTACGTGGTGAAGATTTTCTCGACTGAGTTGATATAAGCGGCTGATCGTAAGTCCAAGCCTAGGTTGAACTTCATGGCGGTTCGCATGATGGCCTGAAAACAATAGCGTGATTAGTTTCGGGTTGGAGCGGGTGGACCCAACTTAGGTTTGTCCGGCGTCGGCTGCCACTATTTCAAACTTTTGTCAAGTCTGAAAATGAAAGTAGCGTGAATCAAAGAACATCAGACTAGGGTGTCCCTCGGGTCTCTATTCAAGTCACTCAATTAGTGTCCTACCTTTGCCGACCTTTCCATGGTGTAGTCTAACCCAGAATGCACAATATCCTTCTCGGAAGCACCTGCTATTCTCTTGCTGAAGGACTCCGAAGGTGTGACGGGGATTTTGCCGCCCACGCTTCCGAATCTACGTTCCAAAGACTCCTGCACCGACTCTGCAACAACCGATTAACCCAAAACAACCACACCGCACCAACTTACGCAAAAGATAGTAGTTGGAGTCCCGTTCATACTTGAAGGTAAGTCTTCCGTACGACACGTGGTTGATGTTCTTCAACCACTCGAAGAACGACACCGTCACACCACCCGCGTTGATGTACAAATCCGGGATTACTAAGATATTCTTCTCCAATAGGATCGAATCGGCTGCTGGTGTTGTTGGTCCGTTGGCAGCTTCAGCAATGATCTGCAACACTCGATTGTTAAACGAAAGGTACGACTGCGGTACCACCAACCTTGGCTCTGATTTGGTGCGCGTTCTCTTTGTTGATGACTTTCTCAGTGGCTGCCGGCACTAGAATATCGCACTCTTCGTACAACAAACTGTTGCCTTCTTTAGCTTCAGCCCCCGGGAAGCCCACAATCGTACCGTTGGTCATGCGGTAGTCCTCCAAGTCCTGTAAGACCACTCTTAGTACTGCGTAGACAAGTTTGTTTTTTACCTTAGGGTCGAATCCTTGCGGGTTGTAAATGGACCCGTCGTGCTCCAGGACTCCTATGCACCTCGCTCCAGCCCTGTGCAAGTACCGCATCGTGTGCAGCCCCACGTTACCGAACCCTTGGACGATGAAGGTCTTGCCGCCCCAGCCCGGCGTCGTGCCGCACATGCTCATGTACGCCGCCTCGTTGATGAAGTTGTCCAGACCGTGGAAGACCCCTCTTCCGGTGGCCGACACTCGCCCGTGGATGCCACCCTGGTTGATGGGTTTCCCCGTGACGCAGGCGTGGTTGTTGATGTCTTGGTACCCGATGGTTTTGGAGTAGGTGTCGGCGATCCAGGACATCTCACGTTCGCCGGTACCCATGTCGGGCGCCGGGACGTCGATGCTGGGCCCGATGAACCCTTTCTTGGCCAATTCGAGGGCGAATCGGCGCGTGATTTTTTCGAGTTCGTGCTCGGAGTACTCTTTCGGGTTGATCTTGATGCCGGCTTTGCCGCCGCCGAAGGGCACGTCGACGCAGGCGCATTTGAAGGTCATTAGGGCGGATAAGGCTTTGACTTCGTCGCGGCTGACGTCGAGAGAGTAGCGGATGCCTGGAAAGAGTTCCACGATTAAGCATGTTTGAGTGCACTCGACTTCGATCAATTGAATTCATGGAGTGCCTAAGATACTTAGTTTCTATTAATAGTCATGGACACTGCACGCATCGCGCACGCCAATCATAATTGATAACAACTTCAAGATTGAAAAATGACCCAATTTATCGTTACATGAACAGATCAAATATTGATTTTGCGAAACCTCACTCAGACGCAAGGTAAATGCACATGTGACAGTTCAACTTTGCTAAATTTTTTCGTTGTTTTGTAGTCGTTGCGATTTTATTTATAGTTCGTTAGAGGTCACTTGCTAAGGCGACACTTTTCGTGTTGATTTCGACAACTATCGGATTTCGAAAGTGCTAAAATCATTAATGCGGTACACACTGTATCAAGTAATTGAGTTAGTGATAATCTGATAATGAAAAAATATGTAAACGGCATTAAATTAGTCGCCTTTATCATAATCGTTTCATAAATGATTAAGTAAACGTTACGTAAATGGAATCAGATGCTAATTGTTCTATTTTCGGCGTACGAGCTGATATCAAGTGCAACCGTGTGACATTACCAACATTGTCAACAACTAGTTGAAGTAGTTGTTGAAGCTACTACTACTACTCGCACGATAATAATTTGTTTGTGGAAATTTTATAGCTTCCAGTTTATGTAACCCGGAGCGAGGAAAAATAGTTCAAGTTGAAAAAAGTGTTAACCGTGTTATAGCATTCCACGTTTGTTTTTCTTCTTATCAATAAGCAAAGTTTTATATCAATTTCGCCATCCGTTCTGGAATGATAAACAAACACTGTTTCATCAGAATTCTTAACGTCTTCCTGGACTCGAAAGATAAACTACTACTTGACCTTTTCAAATTATAAGTAAATTTCAAGGGCACGTGTTTTTAAGCCAAAACACAACCTTTATTCTGTGTTGTGAAGCGTTGCTATCCCGTTTTTATTTATTAATTATTAGTGAGTTTCAAGTATCAAGTTGAGAAATTTTATTTACAGAAAGAGCACCGAAGTGTGAACAGAAGGCGACAGCTATGTAAATCAAGCTATTAGTTGTATTCCAATTATCGTAATTATCACAGTTAAATGGTCAGGGTTAACATTTGACCATTTATTGCACTGTAACAAAGGTGCAATTAAATTCCTGTTTTTATTGTTCTTATTAGTTGAGTTAATTATAGGAAGCCTATAAACCTAAAAATGATTTTTTTAAGTATCATTTGGAACAATGAAGCTTTCCACGGGTGGTTTTTTTTATCGTCGAAACTTCAAAAAAATCCGGATAACATACGTTTAATATTTGACGACAATCGATTCAGTAGTTTCGAAGATTTTCCGTGTTTTCTGTCTTATAATCTTTGGGTTTTTAATAGTTTTTTACTGATTTGTGATGTTTTTCGCCTTCTTTTTGACGCCTTTTTTGTTGTGGACTTTTTCTTGCTTCTTTTTGCCTCATTATCGCATTTCTTTCTCCTTTTTTTGTTCTTTTCGTCTCTTTTTGTCACTTTCCGCTGGCGCATCCTTTGGTTTTTGTCCCTTTTTTATGTTTTTAACGTCTTTTCTGTTTGTCTATTTTAGTTGTCTTATTTATAAACAAAACAATCACCTTTTGTATCGCTTTTTTATTTTTTACGTCTTTTTTTTTTGCTTTGCTATAGTTTTTTTTTAATCACTTTTTTGCTGTGTTTTGGTCTCCTATATTTGTATCCTTTTTTCCGCCTTTTTTTGTGCCATTTTTCCCCATGTTTCTCCTTCATTCCGCTTTTTTCACCTTTTCTTTGTTCCTTTTTTACGCCTGACCCATTTTTTGCGTGATTCATTTGTATTCAATTTTGTTATATTTCGTTGATTCTTCAGGTTTTTAATAGTTTTTTACTGGTTTGTGATGGGTCAGTTTTAACGAGGTGGAAATCGAGTTATTATTTCTTTATTACCTTTTTTGTAGGTTTTTCGACTCTTGTTTTTATCGCTTTTTTTTATCGCCATTTTTAATGACACTTTTATCGTCCGTTTTTGTTCCCTTTTTATTGATAAAATAATCACCTTTTTTTTCGTTTTCTTTTTGTCTCTTTGGTCGTCCACCTCCTCCTCTCATCAAATTTTTTGTAGATGTTTGCCTTTTTTTTTATTGTTTTTAGCGTTTTTTTCCTGTTTTTTTTTTTTTGGTATCCTATTTTTATCGCTCTTTTTTCGCCATTTTTTTCACACTTTATTCGCCTATTTTTTGTCACCCCCCCCCCCACGTGTTTGTCCTTTCTTTCGCCCTTTTTGTCGCTTTTTTCACCTTTTCTTTGTCGTATTTTTGTTACTTTTTTACGCCTGACTTATTTTTTAAAAGTTTTTTTTACTGGTTTGTGATGGTGATTTTTTAACGAGGCGGAAGTCGAGTTGTCGTCATTTCTTTACAATTTTTTTTGTAGATTTTTTGGCTCCCATTTTTAATCGTTATTTTGAACGACACTTTTTTGTTCCCTTTTTTTATAGCTCTTTTCGTCATTTTTGGTGCCTAGTTTTTTTTAAGTCTTTCTATCGTTTTTTTTGTCGTCTTAAATTGTCCTTTTTTTCGTTTTGTTTTTGTTGTTTTTAGCGTCTTTTTTTCTATTGTTTTTTTACAGATTTTGTGGTCTTTTTGTTGTTTTTTAAATCTTATTTTTATAGATTTTTTGCGTTATTTTTTTCCGTTGTCGCCTTTTTTTATGGCTCTTTTTTCGTGAATTTGTCTCCCCCTCCTTTTTCTAGCATTTTTTGTATTTTTTCTTGTTCCTTCTTTTTATTGCTTTTTGTTTGTTTTTTTACGTCTTATTTCTGTTTTCTTTTTTGTAGTTTTTAGCACCTTTACTTTTTCACCATTTTTTGTTACCTTTTTTGTCAGTTTTCGCCCATTTTTTTTCTAGAATTTTTGTGGGTGTTTCTTTGTTGAATTTTTTTCTTGCCCTTACTACGTATGTCTTTTTTTGTTAATTTTTTGCCCTTTTTCGTCCTTGTGTTTTTTTTTTCTCCTATATTTATATATTTTTTTCCGCCTTTTTTATGACCAGTTTTTCACCTTTTTATCACTTTTTTCGCCCACGTTGGTCCTATCTTTCACCCTTTTTACCTTTTTGTGGCCGTTTTAACTATTTCGTGTTCTTTTTATTGCTTTTCTATGGCTGATTATTCGATACCTCGTTTTCCAAGTTTTCGAATTTTCAATTTCCTGAATTTTAGATTTGAAGTGCCGATTTTTCCGGTTTTCGATTTTTCGGCATTACCATTTTTTGCATTTTCCTTTCGTTTTTTGGTGTTTTTCAATTTGCAAATATTTCAGTTTCTCGATTTTTCGACTACTCGATAACTCGTTGTTTGACATTTCAACTTTTCGATTTATGGATTTTTCAACTTCAATTTTTCAATTTTTCGATTTTTCCACTCTCCGATTTTTCAATATCTCGATTTTTGGAATTTTAGATAATAATAATAGAACTTTATAAAATAATAATAGGCGAAGTCTAGCCATAGATTCTCTGACCTTTCGACTAATTTTCGATTTTGCAATTTTGGCAAATGACATACCCTCTAAGAAAAGAGAGGGTGGGTGGGCGGGGCTAGTACGTATTAACCGAGTACTAATTATAAAAATAAAATAAATGAACAAAAATAAAATCGTTACAATTTTCAGGCTTTGATTTTCCACGTTTAAAATTTTTCAATTTGCAGTTTTTGGATTTCCAGTCTTCCAATTTTTCAATTTCTTGACTTTTAAATTTTTCAATTTTACGAGTCCCAATTTTTTAATTTTGCAATTTTCGTTATTACAGTTTCTCATTTTTCGATTTTTCACATTCTCAGTTTTTAATTTTTGTCATTTTCAATTTTTCGTTTCCTCAATTTTTCAAGTTCTCGATTTTTATTTTTCATTTTCCCGATTTTTTTAATTTTCATTTTCTCGATTTTATGTCACAAATTTTCATTTTTTCAATTCCTTTATTTCTTGTTGTTTCTTTCGATTTTTCAATTTTTCGTTTTTTCAATTTTTCATGTTTCCGATTCTTATTTTTCAATGTAGCGAATTTTTAATTTTTATTTTCTCGATTTATATCACAATTGAACGTTATTTCCTGTGTTTTTTTTCGATTTTACAATTTTTCTTTTGTTCAATTTTTCAAATTTTCAGGCTTTGAATTTTCAGTTCGTCCATTTTTCAATTTTTCAATTTTTCACTTTGCAGTTTTTGGATTTCCAGTGTTCAGATTACCCATATTTCTTTAATTTTCAATATTTCGATCATAATACATATTTCTTTTTTTGTTTAATTTTATACTTTTTCGATTCTTAAGATTTTTCAAGTTTTCATTTTTTAATTTTTCGGTTTTTATTTTCGATTTTTCAATTTTACAATTTCTCGACTTCCAAAATTTTCAATTTTTCGTTCCTTCAATTTTTCGGTTTGCATCAGTTTTTCAATTTGGCAATTTTCCAATATTACAGTTTTTCATTTTTCGATTTTTCAGTTTCTCAATTTTTAATTTTTCCCTTTTGCAATTTTTTTGTTTCCGATTTTTATTTTTCAATTTCCCGATTTTTTTATTTTCACTTTTTCGACTTTATATCAAAATTTTTTCAATTTTTCAAACTTTCAGGTTTTTTCAATTTTTCTTCAAATTTTCAAGTTTGATTTTCACTTTTTACATTTTTCAAGTTTTTGTTTTTTTTATTTTTGATTTTCCAATTTTCCAATTTGTCAACTTTCAAATTTTCCAATGTTTCAATATTACAATTTCTCATTTTTCCATTTTTCACATTCTCGATTTTTAATTTGTCCCTTTTTCAATTTTTTATCCCCTCAATTTTTCATCTCCCCGATTTTTATTTTGCGTTTTCCTGATTTTTTATTTTTCATTTTCTCGATTTAATGTCAGAAATTTTCATTTTTTTAATTTCCTCATTTCTTGTTGTTTCTTTCGATTTTTCAATTATTTGTTTTTTCAATTTTTCGAATTTTCAGTTTCTCAATTTTTCGTTTCCACAATTTTTTTGTTCCCGATTTTTATTTTTCAATGTGATGAATTTTTAATTTTTATTTCCTCGATTTATATCACAATTGTCTGTTTTTTCATTTCCTTTATTTTCTGTGTTTTTTTTTCTCGATTTAACAATTTTTCATTTGTTCAATTTTTGAAATTTTCAGGCTGTGAATTTTCAGTTCGTCCGTTTTCAATTTTTAAATTTTTCACTTTGCAGTTTTTGGATTTTCCAATTTCTTCAATTTTCAATATTTCTATTTCATAATACATATTTCTTTTTTTTTTTATTTTTCACTTTTTCGATTCTTAAGATTTTTCAAGTTTCCATTTTGTGATTTTTCGTTTTTTATTTTTGATTTTTCCATTTTACAACTTCTCGACTTCCAAAATTTTCAATTTTTCGGTTTGCATCAGTTTTTCAATTTGGCAATTTTTCAATATTAGTTTTTCATTTTTCGATTTTTCAGTTTCCCAATTTTTAATTTTTCCCTTGTCCAATTTTTTTGTTTCCGATTTTTATTTTTCATTTTCCCGATTTTTTAATTTTCACTTTTTCGATTTTATACCAAAATTTTTCGTTTTTTCATTTCCTTTATTTTTTGTTGCTTCTTTCGATTTTACAATTTTTCGTTTATTCAATTTTTAAAATTTTTTAGGTTTTTTCAATTTTCCTTCAAATTTCCAAGTTTTATTTTCACTTTTTTACATTTTTCAAGTTTTTATTCTACACTTTTTCGTTTTTTACTTTTTGGATTTCCAATTTTTCGTTAAACTTTGGATTTTTCAAAATTTCGACAGTTTTATAATTCGATTTCTCAATTTCTTTTCAATTTGTTGAATTTTCAGTTTCTCAAATTTTCGTTTCCACAATTTTTCATGGTCCCGATTTTTATTTTTCAATGTGGCGAATTTTTAATTTTTATTTTCTCGATTTACATCACAATTGTCCGTTTTTTCATTTCCTTTATTTTTTGTGTTTTTTTTCGATTTTCCAATTTTTCATTTGTTCAATTTTTCAAATTTTTCACTTCGCAGTTTTTGGATTTCCAGTCTTCCGATTTTCCAATTTCTTTAATTTTCAATATTTCCATTTCATAATACATATTTCTTTTTTTTTATTTTTCACTTTTTCGATTCTTGAGATTTTTCAAGTTTTCATTTTGTAATTTTTCGTTTTTTATTTTTGATTTTTCAATTTTACAATTTCTCGACTTCCAAAATTTTCAATTTTTCGTTCCTTCAATTTTTCGGTTTGCATCAGTTTTTCAATTTGGCAATTTTTCAATATTACAGTTTTTCATTTTTCGATTTTTCAGTTTCTCAATTTTTAATTTTTCCCTTTTGCAATTTTTTTGTTTCCGATTTTTATTTTTCATTTTCCCGATTTTTTTATTTTCACTTTTTCGATTTTATATCAAAATTTTTTCAATTTTTCAAATTTTCAGGTTTTTTCAATTTTTCTTCAAACCTTCAAGTTTGATTTTCACTTTTGGATTTTTCAAAATTTCGACAGTTTTATAATTCGATTTCTCAATTTCTTTTCAATTTGTTGAATTTTCAGTTTCTCAAATTTTCGTTTCCACAATTTTTCATGTTCCCGATTTTTATTTTTCAATGTAGCGAATTTTTAATTTTTATTTTCTCGATTTACATCACAATTGTCCGTTTTTTCATTTCCTTTATTTTCTGTGTTTTTTTTTCGATTTTACAATTTTTCATTTGTTCAACTTTTCAAATTTTTCACTTCGCAGTTTTTGGATTTCCAGTCTTCCGATTTTCCAATTCCATTAATTTTCAATATTTCTATTTCATTATACATTTATTTTTTTTTATTTTTCACTTTTTCGATTCTTAAGGTTTTTCAAGTTTTCATTTTGTAATTTTCGTTTTTTATTTTTCATTTTTCAATTTTACAATTTCTCGACTTACAAAATTTTCAATTTTTCGTTCCTTCAATTTTTCGGTTGGCATCAGTTTTTCAATTTGGCAATTTTTCAATATTACAGTTTTTCATTTTTCGATTTTTCAGTTTCTCAACTTTTAATTTTTCCCTTTTCCAATTTTTTTGTTTCCGATTTTTATTTTCCATTTTCCCGATTTTTTAAGTATCACTTTTTCGATTTTATACCAAAATTTTTCGTTTTTTCATTTCCTTTATTTTTTGTTGCTTCTTTCGATTTTACAATTTTTCATTTATGCAATTTTTTAAATTTTCAGGTTTTTTCAATTTTTCTTCAAAGTTCCAAGATTGATTTTCACTTTTTACATTTTTCAAGTTATTATACACTTTTTCGTTTTTTTATTTTTGATTTTTCAATTTTACAATTTGTCGACTTCCAAATTTTCCAATTTTTCAATATTACAATTTCTCATTTTTCCATTTTTCACATTCTCGGTTTTTAATTTTCCCTTTTTCAATTTTTCGTCCTCTCAATTTTTCAACTCCCCGATTCTGGTTTTGCGTTTTCCTGATTTTTTATTTTTCATTTTCTCGATTTTATATCACAATTTTTTGTTTTTTCATTTCCTTAATTTTTGTTGTTTCTTTCAATTTTCCAATTTTTCGATTATTCAGTTTTTCAAATTTTCAGGCCAATCGCTTCCAATTCGCCGATTTTCCGATTTTTAAATTTTCCAGTTTGCAGTTTTTGGGTTTCGACCCCTTTTTTACTTTTTGGATTTTCAATTTTTCGTTAAACTTTAGATTTTTCAAATTTTCGACAGTTTTATACTTCGATTTCTTAATTTTTGTTTTGATTGTTCACTTTCTCAATTTATCAATTTCTCAATTTTTTTCTATCTCTCGATGTTTCGATTTTTGGATTTCTCGGTTTTTCGATTTTCCAATTTTTCAAATTTTGACGTTACTAAATTTTCAGTTTTCCGATTTTCCGATTAATATATTTTTTTTGATTTCCCGTTTCTCGAATATTTGTTACAGTTTTGGGATTTTTCAATATTTATATTTTTCGACTTTTCGATTTTTAATGTTTTGGATTGTCAGTTTTTCGTTTTTTAAACTTTAAATTTTTCAATTTTCGACTGTTTTATATATATTTCGATTTCTGAATTTTTCGATTTTTCAATTTTCCAATTTTTTAAATTGCCAAGTGTTGATGTTTCTGAATTTTCAGTTTACCGATTTCTCAATTAATCTATGTCTTTACGTTTTCAATGTTTTTAAGTGGTTTGAGTGTGGCAATTTTTTAACGAGGCGGAAGTCGAGTGTCATTTCATGGTGCTTGATACGAGTTACACGCACTATCTATATGAAAATGTTTATTAGACAATCACAGACAATTTAAAGATAAGAACTGTAAAAAATACTTGCAATTGTGAAAAGCACTTGTGACGGTTTTATAGATCACAAAAATGAATCATTGAATTATTGAAATATGAAAAAATTAGAAACTATTTTCTAGCAACATATATGTATTAAAACTGGACAAAACATCCTTTTTTATTGCTTCCTGAACCCAAAAAAAAAAGAAATAAAATGAAAATCGTACTATAACTAATAATTTTTTATCTGTTAGACTGAACGCCAAGGTATAAATTATTGAAATTGCATCAGACCTTCTTCAATCTCTCGGTTATCGTTTTTTCGTAAATCAATCAAAGTCCGTGCCCCTTTTGCAACCATCTCACCGCGATAAAAAACGATGATCCAGTTCAATGATTCCGATTTGGTTGCTACGTGTTTTTTAAAATTGGTTGTTGTGGTGAGGTAATTCGCAACATCGATGAGTTATTTCCGTCGATTGTTATCAAACGAGACACTCAAGACTCTAAATCCGCCTATCTCTCATATCCACGACACACCTTTTTTCAAAAAACACAAACGTTTCAATATCGAGCGCAATTTATCCAGGAAAAGCATGAATGAATCAATCACCTGTCGGTTATCGATACTACAACATAATAACCTGCTCCGGCCGAGTGCCGCAACAGCTATACCCGTCAATATTTGCATTACTCAACTTGATAACTCTTATCAAAATACCAACAATTCCAGCCCGAGTGTTTAACAATCAATTACCAGCACCCACATTTGACAGCTCTCATTACAGAGTAGCAACCCATTTACCACAAAAACATGTATAAATTTAGATTGAGCAAGCTGGCATGCGCCTATTTTTGTCACAGGAGTTATACAAGTGTCTATAAATGATTGTAGAAGCGTAACAACCCTACTACAAGTCATTTATCCACCGCATTGATTTCTCATTTGTAGTAGGGGTTAATGTACGCACGAGCGGCACAAAACCTTACCGCCTTTGCACGGAGTCCTGTGGGTGCTGTGCTGCGCCCTGTACCCCGTGATGATCTGGTACTCCCCGTTGTCCCTCCTGATCGGGAACGCCACCTCCAGGATCTGGTCGCACTGCTCCATCAGCGTCAAGATTCCCTTAACTTTCGCTTTCCGCTGGTCCAAGTTCAACCGGCTCCCTTTGACCTTGGCCAAGTCCTCCACGAGCTTGTCCTCCACCAGCACGCACGCCCGGTGGAAGAAGTACTCCACCATGTCGAAGAAGCGCGGGTTGGCGTTCTGGGGCATGTCCTTGAGCCGCTCGGGGATGACATGGTCGGCGTAGGTCCGGGCCTGGTGGGCCGACGCCGGGAGCAGCTTCAACAGCGTCCCGACCTCCAGGTTCGCGCAGGGCTTGATCTTCGAGATCGACTTCAGGCTCAGCATCGTGGCGGATTGGTTGCGACGGAAGAATTAACGACTGATTTAAGCACGGACGAATTTATGCAACATTTCACGACGACGCCACCTCGAAAAGTACGATTTCTTACGTAATTCCGGCACGGCTGATGCTCGACTCGGGAACCCGCAGAATCGCACGCCGATTGTCAAGTCGCGAATGACAGATGGCATGCTGCACCAACCTGACGGAACGAAAGTTGCTGAAAGTGGTGTGTACCACAGGTGTGCAGTGGGATTGCTGGGTTAAAAATGTGGTGATGGATTGATAAGAGCGTGCATGCGAAATGTGCTGGGTTTAGTCGTGGATGAGATAAGGATTGCGAGGGAACAGGGAATTGATGGGTGACGTCATGACGGGATTTTGACGAATGGGGAGTGACGAGGAGTGGCGCGAATTTTGAAACAATTTTTAAGTTACGACATACACTATGTTTGCCAACTTAACGCAAAAGAATTAATTGTTAAACAAATACGAACATCAAGTAACGTTAACGATAAAAGTTACTGGATTCTAAAAAACCCCGACATTCTTTGCCTAATAAAATCGGCAACCAACAACACACGAACTAATGAAAATAGGAAAAGTATATTTGCGTATTTTACGAACTGCTAAACGCCGAAATCACTTGAAATTTAGCACACACTGCAAGTGTCAAATTTAATGATTTATTTTAGTGTGACATAATTTAGAGTTATATTTCTTTTCACTGACAGTTTTTCTTCCATTTTTAAACTTCAAATTGACAATCCGTGACAAAGAAACTCTCAAACTTCGTAATGCCAATCTTAGAATAATAATTAAACTATACAATCAGGGTTTTTTTCCGTTTAAATTGAATTTAACAACTGGTGAATTTTGATTTTAGAAAAAAAGTATAAGTTTGACCTTTTCTGGTAGTTTTTCATGACAAAGATTTGTTATTCCAAAATCAAAATTTAATCAACACCTCAAAAATTGGCAGTCTGTGACAAAAGAACTCTCAAACTTTGTAATGCCAACCTTAGAACAATAATTAAACTATATAATTAGGGTTTTTTCCTTTTCAAACTGAAATCAACGAGTGGTGAATTTTTGATTTTGGAAAAAATTATGACTTTTTGGCAGTTTTTTTCAAAACAAAGGCATATTATTCTAAAATCAAAATTTAACCAACACCGCGATTTATTCCAAAATATAAGAGCAAGTTGCCAGTGTTAGTTTTAGTGATTTATTCTAGTGTGAAATAATTTAAGGTTGTTTTTCATTGACAGTTTCTTTCCATTTTTAAACTTCAAATTGACAGTGTCCATGATAAAGGAACTCTCACACTTGGTAATGCCAATCTTAGAATAATAATTAAATTATATAGTCAGGGTTTTTTCCGTTTAAATTGAATTTAACAACTGGTGGATTTTGATTTTGGAAAAAAGTATACCTTTGACCTTTTTTGGTAGTTTTTCAAGACAAAGATTTGTTATTCCAAAATCAAAATTTAATCAACACCTCCAAAATTGGCAGTCTGTGACAAAAGATCTCTCAAACTTTGTAATGCCAATCTTAGAACAATAATTAAACGATATAATCAGGGTTTTTCCTTTTCAAACTGAATTCAACGTGTGGTGAATATTTGATTTTGGAAAAAATGATGACTTTTTTTGGCAGATTTTTTCAAGACAAAGGCATATTATTCTAAAATCAAAATTTAACCAACACCGCGATTTATTCCAAAATATAAGAGCAAGTCGCCAGTGTCGGTTTTAGTGATTTATTCTAGTGTGAAATAATTTAAGGTTGTTTTTCATTGACAGTCTCTTTCAATTTCTAAATTTCAAATTGACAGTTCATGATAAAGGAGCTCTTAAACTTTGTAATGCCAATCTCAGAATAATAATTAAATTATATATTCAGGGTTTTTTCCGTTTAAATTGAATTTAACAACTGGTGGATTTTGATTTTGGAAAAAAGTGTAAGTTTGACCTCTTTTTGGTGGTTTTTTCAAGACAAAGATTTGTTATTCCAAAATCAAAATTTAATCAACACCTCAAAAATTGGCAGTCTGTGACAAAAGAACTCTCAAACTTTGTAATGCCAATCTTGGAACAATAATTAAACGATATAATCAGGGATTTTTCTTTTCAAACTGAATTCAACGAGTGGTGAATTTTTGATTTTGGAAAAAATTATGACTTTTTTTGGTAGTTTTTTTCAAGTCAAAGGCATATCAATCTAAAATCAAAATTTAAGATTTATTCCAAAATATAAGAGCAAGTTGCCAGTGTCAGTTTTAGTGATTTATTCTAGTGTGAAATAATTTAAGGTTGTTTTTCATTGACAGTTTCTTTCCATTTTTAAACTTCCAATTGACAGTCCATGATAAGGGAGCTCTCAAACTTTGTAATGCCAATCTTAGAATAATAATTAAATTATATAATCAGGGTTTTTTCCGTTTAAATTGAATTTAACAGGTGGATTTTGATTTTGGAGAAATGTATAAGTTTGCCCTTTTTTGGTAGTTTTTTCAAGACAAAGATTTGTTATTCCAAAATCAAAATTTAATCAACACCTCAAAAACTGGCAGTCTGTGACAAAAGAACTCGCAAACTTTGTAATGCCAATCTTAGAACAATAATTAAACTATATAATCAGGGTTTTTTCCTTTTCAAACTGAATTCAACGAGTGGTGAATTTTTGATTTTGGAAAAAATTATGACTTCTTTTGGCAGTTTTTTTCAAGACAAAGGCAAATTACTCTTAAATCAAAATTTTTCCAACACCGCGAATTATTCCAGAATATAAGAGCAAGTTGCCAGTGTCAGTTTTAGCGATTTATTCTAGTGTGAAATAATTTAAGGTTAAGTTGCTTTTCATTGACAGTTTCTTTCCAATTTTAAACTTCAAATTGACAGTCCATGATAAATGAGTTCTCAAACTTGGTAATGCCAATCTTATAATAATAATTAAATTGTATAATCAGGGTATTTTCCGTTTAAATTGAATTTAACAACTGGTGGATTTTGATTTTGGAAAAAAGTATAAGTTTGACCTTTTTTGGTAGTTTTTTCAAGAACAAGATTTGTTATTCCAAAATCAAAATTTAATCAACACCTCAAAAATTGGCAGTCTGTGACAAAAGAACTCCCAAACTTTGTAATGGCAATCTTAGAACAATAATGAAACTATGTAGATAATCAGGGTTTTTTCCTTTTCAAACTGAATTCAACGTGTGGTGAATTTTTGATTTTGGAAAAAATTACGACTTTTTGGCAGTTTTTTTCAAGACAAAGGCATATTCCTCTAAAATCAAAATTTTACCAACACCGCGATTTATTCCAAAATATAAGAGCAAGTTGCCAGTGTCAGTTTTAGTGATTTATTCTAGTGTGAAATAATTTAAGGTTGTTTGTCATTGACAGTCTCTTTCCATTTTTAAACTTCAAATTGACAGTCCATGATAAGGGAGCTCTCAAACTTGGTAATGCCAATCTTAGAATAATAACTAAATTATATAATCAGGGTTTTTTCCGTTTAAATTGTATTTAACAACTGGTAGAATTTGATTTTGGAAAAAGTATAAGTTTGACCTTTTTTGGTAGCTTTTCAAGACAAAGATTTGTTATTCCAAAATCAAAATTTTATCAACACCTCAAAAATTGGCAGTCTGTGACAAAAGAACTCTCAAACTTTGTAATGCCAATCTTAGAACAATAATTAAACTACATAATCAGGGTTTGTTCCTTTTCAAACTGAAATCAACGAGTGGTGAATTTTTGATTTTGGAAAAAATTATGACTTTTTGGCAGTTTTTTTCAAAACAAAGGCATATTATTCTAAAATCAAAATTTAACTAACACCGCGATTTATTCCAAAATATAAGAGCAAGTTGCCAGTGTCACTTTTAGTGATTTATTCTAGTGTGAAATAATTTAAGTTTGTTTTTCATTGACAGTTTCTTTCCATTTTTAAACTTCAAATTGACAGTGTCCATGATAAAGGAACTCTCACACTTGGTAATGCCAATCTTAGAATAATAATTAAATTATATAATCAGGGTTTTCTCCGTTTAAATTGAATTTAACAACTGGTGGATTCTGATTTTGGAAAAAAGTATAAGTTTGACCTTTTTTGGTAGTTTTTACAAGACAAAGATTTGTTATTCCAAAATCAAAATTTAATCAACACCTCAAAAATTGGCAGTCTGTGACAAAAGAACTCTCAAACTTTGTAATGCCAATCTTAGAACAATAATTAAACTATATAATCAGGGTTTTTCCTTTTCAAACTGAATTCAACGTGTGGTGAATATTTGATTTTGGAAAAAAATTATGACTTTTTTTGGCAGTTTTTTTCAAGACAAAGGCATATTATTCTAAAATCAAAATTTAACCAACACCGCGATTTATTCCAAATTATAAGAGCAAGTCGCCAGTGTCGGTTTTAGTGATTTATTCTAGTGTGAAATAATTTAAGGTTGTTTTTTTGACAGTTTCTTTCCATTTTTAAACTTCAAACTGACAGTCCATGATAAAGGAGCTCTCAAACTTTGTAATGCCAATCTTAGAACAATAATTAAATTATATAATCAGGGTTTTTTCCGTTAAATTGAATTTAACAACTGGTGGATTTTGATTTTGGGAAAAAAGTATACGTTTGACCTTTTTTGGTAGTTTTTCAAGACAAAGATTTGTCTGTGACAAAAGAACTCTCAAACTTTGTAATGCTAATCGTAGAACAATAATTAAACCACATAATCAGGGTTTCTTCCTTTTCAAACTGAATTTAACGAGTGGTGAATTTCTGATTATGGAAAAAATTATATGACTTTTTGGCAGTTTTTTTCAAGTCAAAGGCATATTAATCTACAATCAAAATTTAATCAACACTGCAATTTATTCGAAAATACAAAGCCAATGTTGCCACTGTCAGTTTTAATTAGTGATTTATTCTTTTGTGAAATAATTTAAGGTCATGTTTCATCGACATTTTATTTCCATATTTATTAAACTTCAAGTTGACATTCCGTGACAAAGGAACTCTCAAACTTTCTATTGCCAATCTTAGAATAATGAAACTAGAAGTGAATTTGTCAATAGGAAGTGACAGTTCCACCAACTTTTCGACGCTGCTGGACCTCTGGACCATCACTTGTTAGAAATCTTGTTGATGTTGTGTAAAATAATATACAAACATAAGGAAAACAACTCCATTGGATTATTTAAATTTAAACAATCACGAATAATGTCTACCAACATAAGCCAAATAACAATTAAAAAAACCTAGATTTTCGTTTCGTCTTTCACTGTGCGCATGCGCAAACATCTGTCAATACGCATCCGTCAAAAAACAGACACTAAATGACAGTTTGACAAGAATCGGTTTGATACTTTGATAATTTTCGTCACAATTCTGTAACAAGGGGCCCCCACGTCACCAAAAACCCTTCCAGACCCCCTCCATGGACAACGAAGCCCGAACAATATGGTGCGGCAACCTCGCCGACAAAGTCACCGAAGAACTCCTCTACGAACTGTTCCTCCAGGCAGCCCCCCTCGAAGAAGTCCGAATCCCCACGGACAAAACCGGCCGCAAAGCCAACTACGGCTTCGTCGTCGTAAAACACGAAGTGTCAGTCGATTACGTGGTGCAACTCCTCGACGGAACCTGTCTCTACGAAAGACCCATCACTGTGAAACCCCGCAAAAGCAACCAAAACGCACGAACCACGCCGAAGACTGCGAACAATTTCATAATAATGACGCCGCTCCCGCAGCTCCCGTTGAATTTCGGGTCGCCGCCCTACCAACCGAACTTTCACAATGAAAGACCGTACAGTAAACCGTACCACAGGCATGACAATTACTCAGGTAGGCACAACTGGAACAACAATCACAGGAACAGTCACAGCAACGAGAGGAACAGGAGACGGTATCACTGACTATTTTACATTTATTTTTGTTAATCTTAATTTTTAATAAAATGTACGACATTGAATTAATTGTGTTGTGTGTTAGATGAGGAAGATGATGCCGTCGGCTAACATCACTTGGTTGTCTTCGGTCATTTGGTCGAGGGCGGCTTGAATTTCGCCTTGGGTGAAGGGCTCGAGGTTGTCGGAGTTGACGCTGTCTCGGACGCGGGTTAAACTCAGGGATTGGGCTCTGTTGTCTTTGAAGGCTTTGTGGAGGCCGGTCTTGAACTGGGTCAACCTTAAAAAAAAAAACATGAATTTTAAAAACGTCGGGGTTTAGAGTTGGCTGCGAATAATCGTACCTGTCATTGGTGATGCTTGGAGTCGCGTCCACTTCCATTGCTTCTTCCTGACTGGCAGCGGAGCTCTGTGTTTGAACTATTTCTTCCTCTGATTCGTCAGCGGTCGCTCGCTACAAACACGCGATTAAATCAAGTGTGTTTGAATGATTACTATTAGTACCGTTCGTCTGGATCTCTTTGATTGTTGTTCCGTTTGTGGTTCTTCATCTTCTGAGTCGCTCTGCGAATTTCTTCTACGCCTCTTCTTCTCTTTCTCGAGTACTTTTTTGAAGTACGCATATTGGACTAACTCTATAGCGGCGTGAGCATCCTGCTCAGTGACCGTGCGACTCATTCTAGCTTTAGCATGCGCGGTTGCTAATCGAATCATGGTTTCCAAAGTACGCGCTGTGACTGGTTGCGTCTAAAAATTCCAACCAATAAACACCAACCCCAAATAAAACGACACTATTTACCCTTGCGACGTCACTTTCCAATATATCTTCAGACCTCAACTTCGAATATTCATTTGCTATAATTTCGCACGCTTCTTCGGTCAACACCGGCTTCAAAATTTTCACGAAATGTATATACTTTCGCATAAAATCCACACTCAGGATTTTATCGGTACGCCTGCGGCTCGCGCCGTGTAAAAGCGCGTCGTATTTTTCATACATCGGGGTTTCTTTTTCTTCGTCCATTTCGTCCGGTCGCATCGTGGTCAACATGTCCACCGTGGACCCCATTGGGAGAACGTCGCCATCTTGTTCGTTCGGGTTCCTACACATTTTCATAAAATCCCGCCAATTTAAAAGTCACACGTTTACCTATAGCGGTGCATCCTGACCACGTGATCCGAAATCATCAAATCGTGGTCCTCACTCACGCTGTCCAACATAACAAAAAGCAAGTCGAAACGTGACAACAACGAGTCCTGAAGCCCGATATTCTCCATTGGAGTTTTGTATTGGTCATACTGCAACCACATGTCATAAATTTAAAAACTCTGACTTAAGTAACAATTTAACCTTGCCGTAGACGGGATTAGCCGCTGCTAGAACTGAACACCTAGCGTTTAGACTGGCGTGAATTCCGGCTTTTGCTATAGTGACTCGACCCTGTTCCATTACTTCGTGGATGGCAGTCCTGTCCATGTCGGACATTTTGTCGAACTCGTCGATACAAACCACGCCTCTGTCTGCTAGCACCATAGCACCAGCCTCTAGTCGTCTTTCGCCGGTTTCTTGGTCTGTGGTCACAGCTGCTGTCAGACCCACACCCGATGAACCGCGGCCTGTGGTAGGTATAGCACGTGGAGCCGTGCACAACACATACCGAAGAAGCTGCGATTTGGCAACACTGGGATCACCGATTAAAAGCACGTTAATGTCGCCTCTTAATCGGGTACCATTAGGGAGGATTTTTTCGACTCCTCCGAGTAACAAACAAAGAATTGCCCTTTTGATGTAATCATGACCGTGAATTGAAGGGGCCAAAGATTTCGCCAACAAATTAAAAATGTTTTTGTTGGTACGAGCTAAGTTCTTGCAGCGGGCCACATCTTCTCTGGATATGGAAGGATTGGCTTCTTTGCTTAGTTGGGTTATGTTGTTGGCGATCACCACGGTCCTAGAGTTACAATATTTATATTTTTGTTGGTACGTGTCATTTAAACACAGCATAATCCAATAATTACCGATATTTTTGATTTTTTTTTTACTTCATACCTAAATGTGCCCGAAGTGTAGCTCCCTTGCTTATTCGGGAGACAACGATAATTTCCCACCACCTGGATGCGATCGCCGGGTTTGCACCTATCGACAAGGTCGCTGTCACAGATTATGTCCACGGATCGGGGTAACTGCCCAGCGGGAGCTTTTTCGGGCATTTCCTGGATGGAGATGGTTTGGTGGTCTTTGTACACGGATAAACCGAATTCGGTTTCCAGCAAGTTGCCATCTTCGTCCTAACCAAAAAATTGTGTCTAACAATAACAATACATTTTTTTACCAAATACAAACATAATTTCTTCGAATTTTACGTTAATTTCCCAGAATTTGAGCTTAACATAAGCGAAAACTACCTAGTTATTTTTTTTTTTTTTTGTTAGGTTGTGACTGTCAGTTTCTATCTAAGAACAAAAAAATCTTGAAATTTAGGTACTTCTGGACGTTTCATGCCCCCAGACTACGAAAAAGTAGGTCCTCATTTCTGCGTGAAAATAAACTTTTTCAAATTATTACATGGACTAAAATTTATATTATCTTCAAGGTTTCTTTATTTAACATATGTACTAAAAATATTAATACTATTATTTGTTTTTGAGATAACTTCATTTTTTTGACAGCCAACTACGCTCTCTATTTTTTTTATAGTTGGTAACAAGTTTACTTTATAAAGCGTGTCCATATATTCGGTTGCCAAAGCTTCACTGTGGTAAAATAATCAACAAAGACATTCCAGAGCCACCTTTGATACCAGGATCATTTATCGACATGTTGTTCCGAGAAAGCAATAAAAACACGATCAAAGACAGCCATGGATTTTCGAAGATGTGTCTTTGATTGTTGCATTTTCAAATTCACGGTAATCTGACAAAATGACTCTTCTATCAAAGATAAATCCCAAAAAATCCATGGCTGTCTCTGATGGTGTTTTTGTTGCCTTCAGTATATTCACACTGGGATCACTTTATTTATTTAAAACTACCTACTTCTATTTTTTTTTACTTCCCGAGCGTAAGTGAAATCATTCCAGCGATTACTCTTAATGTGATTTAGTGATTTACCAAAATCAATCTTATTTTGGAAAATACTAGCCCCGCCCACCCGCCCCTATTTTCTCAGAAGGTATGGCGTCTGCCAAAATCAGTCTTATCTGAGTAAGTGCTAGCCCCGCCCACCCACCCGTATTTTCTCATAGGATATGTCATTTGCCAAAATAAGATTTATCTTAGCAAGTACTACCGAGAAAATAAAGGGCGGGTGCGCGGGGCTAGTACTTGGTTAGATAAGACTAATTTTGGCAAATGACATATCCTCTGAGAAAATAGGGGGCGGAGGGGCGGGGCTAGTACTTGGTAAGAGAAGACTGATTTTGGCAAATCACATTCTCTGGGAAAATAGGGGGCGGGTGGGCGGGCCCAGTGTTTGTTACGATGCGTCTGTCGTCTGAGTCGATTTTTATCTCCGAAAATAAGCTTTTTCAGATTATTTAGATTAAAATTTATAATATTATTTTGAAGGTTTTATATTTAAGGATAGATTTCTTTGTTTAACGTATGTAATAAAAAAATTAATTACAACTTATTTGTTTTTGAGACAATTTCATTTTATTTCACAGCCAACTACGTTCTCCATTTTTTTTTTAATAGTTGGTAACAAGTTCACTTTATAAAGCGTGTCCATATATTCGGTTGCCAAAGTTTCACTGTGGTAAAATAATCAACAAAGACATTCCGGAGTCACCTTTGATACTAGGATCATTTATGGGCACGTCGTGCCTAGAAAGCAATAAAAACACGATCAAAGACAGCCATGGATTTGCGAAGACATGTCTTTGATTGTTGCATTTTCAAATTCACGGTAATCTGACAAAATGACTCTTCTATCAAAGATAAATCCCCGAAAATCCATGGCTGTCTGTGATCGTGTTTTTGTTGCCCTCAGTATATTCACAACGGGATCACTGTTTATTCAAAACTACCTACTTCTATTTTTTTTTTTACTTCCCGAGCGCAAGCGAAATCATTGCAGTGATTACTCTTAATATTGTTCAGTCATTTACCAAAATCAATCTTATCTTGGCAAGTACTAGCCCCGCCCACCCACCCTCTATTTTCTCAGAGGGTATGGCGTCTGCCAAAATCAGTCTTATCTGAGCAAGTGCTAGCCCCGCCCACCCGCCCGTATTTTCTCAGAGGATATGTCATTTGCCAAAATAAGACTTATCTTAGCAAGTACTACCAAGAAAATAAAGGGCGGGTGGGCGGGGCCAGCACTTGTTCAGATAAGACTGATTTTGGCAAATGACATATCCTCTGAGAAAATAGGGGGTGGGTGGGCGGGGCTAGTACTTGGTAAGATAAGACTGATTTTGGCAAATGACATATCCTCTGAGAAAATAGGGGGCGGGTGGGCGGGGTTAGTATTTGTTACGTTGTATCTGTTGTCTGAGTCGATTTTTTATTTCCGAAAATAAACTTTTTCAGATTATTTAGATTAATATTTATAATATTTATTTTGAAGCTTAGAATTCTTTGTTTAACGTATGTAATAAAAAACTTAATTACTATTTATTTGTTTTTGGAATAAACTTCTTTTTTTTCGCAGCCAACTATGTTCTTTATTTTTTTATGGTTGGCATCAAGTTTACTTTATAATTTATTTCCGAAAATAAACTTTTTCAGGTTATTTAGATTAATATTTATAATATTTATTTTGAAGCTTAGAATTCTTTGTTTAATGTATGTAATAAGAAACTTAATTACTATTTATTTGTTTTTGGGATAAACTTTTTTTTCGCAGCCAACTATGTTCTTTATTTTTTTATGGTTGGCATCAAGTTTACTTTATAATTTATTTCCGAAAATAAACTTTTTCAGATTGTTTAGATTAAAATTTATAATATTTATTTTGAAGCTTAGATTTCTTTGTTTAACGTATGTAATACAAAACTTAATTACTATTTATTTGTTTTTGGGATAAACTTCTTTTTTTTTGCAGGCAACTATGTTCTTTATTGTTTTATGGTTGGCATCAAGTTTACTTTATAATTTATTTCCGAAAATAAACTTTTTCAGATTGTTTAGATTAAAATTTATAATATTTATTTTGAAGCTCAGATTTCTTTGTTTAACGTATGTAATAAAAAACTTAATTACTATTTATTTGTTTTTGGGATAAACTTCTTTTTTTTACGCAGCCAACTATGTTCTTTATTTTTTTATGGTTGGCATCAAGTTTACTTTATAATTTATTTCCGAAAATAAACTTTTTTAGATTGTTTAGATTAAAATTTATAATATTTATTTTGAAGCTTAGATTTCTTTGTTTAACGTATGTAATAAAAAACTTAATTACTATTTATTTATTTTTGGGATAAACTTCTTTTTTTTTTCGCAGCCAACTATGTTCTTTATTTTTTTATGGTTGACATCAAGTTTACTTTATAATTTATTTCCGAAAATAAACTTTTTCAGATTATTTAGATTAAAATTTATAATATTTATTTTGAAGCTTAGATTTCTTTGTTTAACGTATGTAATAAAAAATTAATTACTATGTATGTATTTGTTTTTGGGATAAACTTTTTTTTTTCGAAGCCAACTATGTTCTTTGTTTTTTGATGGTTGGCATCAAGTTTACTTTATAATTTATTTCCGAAAATAAACTTTTTCAGATTGTTTAGATTAAAATTTATAATATTTATTTTGAAGCTTAGAATTCTTTGTATAACGTATGTAATAAAAATTTAATTACTATTTATTTGTTTTTGGGATAAACTTTTTTTTTTAGCAGCCAACTATGTTCTTTATTTTTTATGGTTGGCATCAAGTTTACTTTATAATTTATTTCCGAAAATAAACTTTTTCAGATTGTTTAGATTAAAATGTATAATATTTATTTTGAGGCTTAGAATTCTTTGTTTAACGTATGTAATAAAAAACTTAATTACTATTTATTTGTTTTTGGGATAAACTTCTTTTTTTTCGCAGCCAACTATGTTCTTTATTTTTTTATGGTTGGCATCAAGTTTACTTTATAATTTATTTCCGAAAATAAACTTTTTTAGATTGTTTAGATTAAAATTTATAATATTTATTTTGAAGCTTAGATTTCTTTGTTTAACGTATGTAATAAAAAACTTAATTACTATTTATTTATTTTTGGGATAAACTTCTTTTTTTTTTCGCAGCCAACTATGTTCTTTATTTTTTTATGGTTGACATCAAGTTTACTTTATAATTTATTTCCGAAAATAAACTTTTTCAGATTATTTAGATTAAAATTTATAATATTTATTTTGAAGCTTAGATTTCTTTGTTTAACGTATGTAATAAAAAATTAATTACTATGTATGTATTTGTTTTTGGGATAAACTTTTTTTTTTCGAAGCCAACTATGTTCTTTGTTTTTTGATGGTTGGCATCAAGTTTACTTTATAATTTATTTCCGAAAATAAACTTTTTCAGATTGTTTAGATTAAAATTTATAATATTTATTTTGAAGCTTAGATTTCTTTGTTTAACGTATGTAATAAAAAATTAATTACTATGTATGTATTTGTTTTTGGGATAAACTTTTTTTTTTCGAAGCCAACTATGTTCTTTATTTTTTGATGGTTGGCATCAAGCTTACTTTATAATTTATTTCCGAAAATAAACTTTTTCAGATTGTTTAGATTAAAATTTATAATATTTATTTTGAAGCTTAGAATTCTTTGTATAACGTATGTAATAAAAATTTAATTACTATTTATTTGTTTTTGGGATAAACTTTTTTTTTTAGCAGCCAACTATGTTCTTTATTTTTTATGGTTGGCATCAAGTTTACTTTATAATTTATTTCCGAAAATAAACTTTTTCAGATTGTTTAGATTAAAATGTATAATATTTATTTTGAGGCTTAGAATTCTTTGTTTAACGTATGTAATAAAAAACTTAATTACTATTTATTTGTTTTTGGGATAAACTTCTTTTTTTTCGCAGCCAACTATGTTCTTTATTTTTTTATGGTTGGCATCAAGTTTACTTTATAATTTATTTCCGAAAATAAACTTTTTTAGATTGTTTAGATTAAAATTTATAATATTTATTTTGAAGCTTAGATTTCTTTGTTTAACGTATGTAATAAAAAACTTAATTACTATTTATTTATTTTTGGGATAAACTTCTTTTTTTTTTCGCAGCCAACTATGTTCTTTATTTTTTTATGGTTGACATCAAGTTTACTTTATAATTTATTTCCGAAAATAAACTTTTTCAGATTATTTAGATTAAAATTTATAATATTTATTTTGAAGCTTAGATTTCTTTGTTTAACGTATGTAATAAAAAATTAATTACTATGTATGTATTTGTTTTTGGGATAAACTTTTTTTTTTCGAAGTCAACTATGTTCTTTGTTTTTTGATGGTTGGCATCAAGTTTACTTTATAATTTATTTCCGAAAATAAACTTTTTCAGATTGTTTAGATTAAAATGTATAATATTTATTTTGAAGCTTAGAATTCTTTGTTTAACGTATGTAATAAAAATTTAATTACTGTTTATTTGTTTTTGGGATAAACTTTTTTTTTTAACAGCCAACTATGTTCTTTATTTTTTTATGGTTGGCATCAAGTTTACTTTATAATTTATTTCCGAAAATAAACTTTTTCAGATTATTTAGATTAAAATTTATAATATTTATTTTGAAGCTTAGATTTGTTTGTTTAACGTATGTAATAAAAAACTTAATTACTATTTATTTGTTTTTGGGATAAACTTCTTTTTTTTTCGCAACCAACTATGTTCTTTATTGTTTTATGGTTGGCATCAAGTTTACTTTATAATTTATTTCCGAAAATAAACTTTTTCAGATTATTTAGACTAAAATTTATAATATTTATTTTGAAGCTTAGAATTCTTTGCTTAACGTATGTAATAAAAAACTTAATTACTATTTATTTGTTTTTGGGATAAACTTCTTTTTTTTCGCAGCCAACTATGTTCTTTATTTTTTTATGGTTGGCATCAAGTTTACTTTATAATTTATTTCCGAAAATAAACTTTTTCAGATTGTTTAGATTAAAATTTATAATATTTATTTTGAAGCTTAGATTTCTTTGTTTAACGTATGTAATAAAAAACTTAATTACTATTTATTTGTTTTTGGGATAAACTTCTTTTTTTTCGCAGCCAACTATGTTCTTTATTTTTTTTATGGTTAGCATCAAGTTTACTTTATAATGCGCGCATCCATAAATTCCGTTTTCAAAACTTCACTGTGGTCAAATAATTAACAACACTTTTGATACCAGTATCATTTATGGACACGTTGTACCAAGAAAGTGATAAAAACACGATCTACGACAGTCACGGATTTTCAAAGATTTGTCTTTGATAGAATTTTCGTCTTAACAGATCACAGTCAATTTGAAGATTTGAATTTAAGACAAACTTTCAAAAGTTTTTATTGCAATCTCGATATGTTCACGTTACTTCCACTTTTTCAAAGCCACCAAAGATTACTTTTTCTTTAACACTATAATGGAAAATTGGTTTAAAGTTTATTTAGAACTTCCCGCACATGTGAAGCACAGCCAGACGAATCCAGTACCGAGTGACTATTAATGTTTGGATATTATTTTGTTAGGTTGGCAACATATTTAAAATTTTATGATACCATACCTGATGTCAATTCAAATTTTGGGCACTAATTCAGTAATTGCCATCTTTTCTTTGGTTTTTATGAAATTAAATAATTGATGATAGTAATGTTGGTATTGCGGCTACTTTTAACATTTTATTTGACAGTTAGTTGATAGAAACTGTCAAACTAGACTGAAAATTGAAAATAAATTTCATGGGTCACTAGACGTGATTAAATTTTTTTAACAGGCGTTGCCACTTCATTAATTTTTCACAGCCAACCATGAAACCAGGAAATTCCCAAACCATAATTTTTCCCCAATTCTTATTTAGCATAACCTAACTTTTTCACGCAACGCTACCACACCATATTCATGTTATATGCAGTATTCGTAAATTTTTTAGTAAATACCTCCAATTCAAAAGTTTACATTTTCAAATCTGAATTCCTCAATAGTTTTTCTATTTTTGTTTGCTTTAATTTTTTCCCACTGAATACTAATTTTTTTTTTAATTTTTCAAAATCACGAAAATAATCCAAACCTTTGTAGGATAAACCGCCGACGACGGAAACGCATCCAACGACGTCAAATCGCTGTACTTCCTCTCGAGCACCTTCTTCGTAACCGGACAATAATGCACACTCTTGACAATTTTCGGATGCACCAAAGAACCTTCAACAAACCCACATACAACCAACCCACCAAAACCCGTCACAACTCACATTTGGTCACAATCCCTTCCACACAAATCAAGTTCCCCAAAAACCTGGAAGTCAAACTCCTCGGAGTGACATGCTTGCCCCCAAAACTCCCCTCAAAAGCGACAAAAAACTCGTCATGCTCCTTCGCGTAGTCGTGCGCAGTGGTAAAAACGTACTCCTTCAACGCCTTCTGGAAGGCAGCTTGCTCCTCGAACGCGACATTCAAAAGACTTTGAGCCCTAGCCGGATTTTTGCGGCGTAAGTCGTTCACGTTGACTAGTAGCCGCTGGCTTTTATCGGCGACCATGTTCTTAACTGCTTGTGAGTACTTTCCTTGGTCTTCCTACACAATTAAATAATTTAAGGGGGCCCCACTTGAGTAGAAAATTGGTTTACCTCGTCGTCCAAAAAGTCCAAATACTCTCGCTGCATGTCGCGGAGGCGCTGATCCACATCTTGCGTGTCCATCATTTTGAAAAATTTGATTTTGTACAAATTGGCGTGAAAACACAACACTCGTTATAAACAAAGTTAGCGAAGTGACAGGTTTTGGCGCGAAACACCACCTAGGGAATTTCGTTTTCGGTTGTCGCGCTGTTGACAGTTGACGTTTGACATGTGTAAATCGCGTTTAAGTGTTTTTCAGCCCCAAAATTCGAAAAAAATCGGCAAGCGCTTATCCAGAAAAGCATTTATAGCTTAGAGGACGCTTTTTGGTTGTAGTGTGTCAGCGTCCTCTAAACATGAATGCTTTTCAGACTTGTCGGAACACTTCGGATACCGTGCCCCTGTATCTCCCTCAGCAGTTATACTTGAAACCAGCGGCTCGTCTGAACATATCCATCCAACTCCCCAATGTGAAGAAACTAGAAAAGAGCATCTCCCATTGGGAGATCATGGAGAAAGTCCGAACTCTGATAAAACCCGACGAATTCTGTGTACTCAAAGTCTCCAAAACCACCATCGAGTTCGTGAGGTTTGAAGCCGAGCTGGACAGTCGAGCGCGACTGGAAAGAGTGATTTCCAAATTAGACAACAACTCGATTAAACTCAAAGAAATTCCGGATCTTTTGCGCTTGAAAGCGGCTGAAATAAAATCCGACTTTCCCACTCGCCACAAATGGGACACTTTTTTTCATGAAGCTAAAGATATGGATGAGATGAAGCCCGGACAGAGACCTGACACTGTGCACGTCGCGAATTTACCGATAAAGTGGTTCGTTCCGTACCATATGAACGACGAAGAAGACGTGACCCCGTCGGAGAAGATGTTCTACCGAATTTTTGAAAAATTCGGCCACATTCGGTACGTTGACATCCCAGTGTGCGACCCGTATCGGAAAAAAATGAAAGAGCACATTTCCGGGTTTAAGGTACACGCACCTGACGATAAAGAATTTTTTGAAGGTTATGTTCAATTCAAAGATTATATAGGGTTTACGAAGACCATGGATGCTCTGAAAGGGATGAAGTTGATGCGAAAAGAAGAAGACGAGTCGCTTTGTGTCAGTATTAAAGTCGATTTTGATAGGTCTAAGCATTTGAGCGATGCGTCTCTTCGACGCAGAGAGATCGTTAGAGACAGGTTAGTGCGGAAACAAAGGGAGAAAGAAGAGAAGGAAAAGCACGAGCTCGAAGCCAAAAAGAAGAAGGAGCGCAGTGAGAGGTTTTTATGTTTTGTGTGTTATAATGAATTATATGTAATTGAACTCAATTATGTGTAATTCATTATAATGAGATGTGAGGGTGCAGGTGTCGATTTCAGGCAAAAGGAAATTGATTTAAAGACAGAGAAAGAAAAGAGACGACGGGAAAGGGAAGCCAAAAGGAAGGCGAAGTTGTTGGAAAAGTTAAAAAGTAGTGGGTGTGATGATATTAACGATAAAATCGCTAAAGAAGAAAAGAAACTTTTAAAAGCGCAGAGAAAACTAGAAGCGATTAGACTAGTGGAGGAACTTTTTAAGAGAATTAAGGTATAAAAGGATGTTTTTTAAGGGTTGTTACACCGTCTGTTTCAGGAAAAAAAAGAGGAGAGTAACGACTCTAGCAAAGGCAAGGGGGAAAGCGTCGACGAGGTAGTTCACAAAAAATTTAAATTTATGTTGTTAAAAATCGGTAATTTTTTTTTGTAGTTGAAACGATTGAAAGACATGAGCGAATTGGAGGTTTTAACCCGGCGACAAAAATTGCACAACGCCATTGAAGGGCGAGTCGTTCTTAAAAGCATTCTTTCAGAACGAAAAAAATCACGAAAGAATTCTTCAAGTTCTGACACTTCTTTATCACCTGATGACGATCCTGCAGGTTCGTATAAAAAAATATATAATTTCGGTGCGATTTTTTATTTTTCGATTTTGACCCTTATTTGTATGTATCATAAGTCACATCGTTGTTATTCGTGTTCTACAGACGGCGACCGCACCGCCACCCCCGACCTGCTCTACGACCCCAACTGGTACCCCTACACCTACCCCGCCCCGCTCTACGCGCCGCCTCTGCGCGCCGGCTACGCCCCGTATCCGCCCCGCGGCCGCCTCCCGCGCGCGCCGCTCCCGGGCCCGTCCCGCGGCCGCCAGTTCTCCAGGGGCCGCGGCTACCGCTCCCGCTACAGAGGCGGCTACCGCGGCGGCTACTCGCACTACTCGCCCGAAGTGGAAGAGGAGTACCTCAAGTACTTCTCCAAGTTCTTCTCCGACCACGACAAGAGGTCAAGAAGCCGGTCGAAGTCGCGCCGCCGGAGCTACAGTCGGTCGAGGTCCAGGTCGCGCTCGCGGCGCAGGTCGTACACGAGGTCCAGGTCGTACTCGCGCAGTCGCTCCCGGTCGCGCTCGTACACCCCGAAGAGGTCCAGGTCGAGGAAGCGCTCGAAGAGGTCGAAGTCGAGGTTCACGCCGTCGCCGAAGCGGAAGTCGAGGTCGGGGAGCGTGGACAGCTCGAAGTTCGTGTCGCCGAGGAGTTTGCGGAGGGCGAGGTCCAAGTCGTGGTCCATGCCGAGGAGCGGAGAGAAGAGGCGGTCGTGGTCGACCACGCCCGAGAAGAAATAGGGGGGGGGGGGGGTATTTATTGTATTGTTTTTGAGAAGTTTTATATTTGTTTTGAGTGTTAGGAACAAAGATTTTTTACATTGTTGTGTTTTTTTTATCCCGGAAGCAGTGACCAGTGTAACTACAGTAGCGGTCATTTCTACGGAACCACTCGATAAAAAGTCAAGTTGGTAGCCCTGTCATCTAGTACTTTACGCCGAACGCGGTTGGTAGCGGTAGTTGATATGGCAATCGAAACTAGCACAACACGAATGTTTCGGTTGCCCTCAGCTATGCCGCACTGTATCCCGTGCACACTGTATGTTCGGTTCATCTGTTTATTAAAATAAAATATCTACATTGACAATGGGGTCATCTAACCTGTCAAATTTTTGACACATATGTTTTCCCCCAGAAACCCGTCAAGGTCACTTACACCAAACAAATTTTGAAAATTTACACTAGGGAGTGGTTCTATAGAAAAGATCGCGACTTTAGACTATATTGTAAAAACGAAATACAACAAAAATGTAAAGAAACGATAAATCAAGAAAAGAAACAAAACGAAAATGGAATAAAGGACGATGTATAACTTTCTCAGACGTTTCGGACTAATTTACCTTGTAAAGCGCTGAAATGTCAAAAAAACCAGAGCCACCCTTGATAACAGAATCGTTCATGGACACGTTGAACAATAAAAACACGATCAAAGACAGCCATGGATTTTCGATTTTTTGTGTCTTCGATTATTGCATTTTCAAATTCATGGTAATCTGATAAATGAAATTTCTATCAAAGACAAATCCCCACCTAGTTCTATTTTTTTTTTTGTTAGGTTGTGATTATCAGTTTCTATCTATGAACAAAAAAATCTTGAAATTTAGGTAATTCTGGACGTTTCATCCCCCCAGACTACGAAAAAGTGTGTCCTCATTTCTGCGTCTGTCGACCGAGTCGCTTTTTTATCTCCGAAAATAAACATTTTCAAATTATTTGGATTATATTTTATAATATTATCTTCAAGGTTTCTTTATTTAACATAGGTAATAAAAAAATTAATTACTATTTATTTGTTTGTGAGATAATTTCATTTTTTTCACAGCCAAGTACGTTCTCTATTTTTTTTTATAGTTGGTAACAAGTTTACTTTATAGAGCGTGTCCATAAATTCGGTTGCCAAAGCTTCACTGCGGTAAAATAATCAACAAAGACTTCCAGAGACACCTTTGATACCAGGATCATTGATGGGCACGTTATGCCGAGAAAACAATGAAAAAAAAACACGATCAAAGGCAGCCATGGATTTTCGAAGATATGTCTTTGATTGTTGCATTTTCAAATTCACGGTAATTTGACAAAATGACTCTTCTATCAAAGACAAATCCGAAAAATTCCATGACTGTCTGTGATCGTGTTTTTGTTGCTTTCAGTATATTCACAATGCTTTATTTATTCAAAACTACCCACTTCTATTTTTTTTACTTCCCGAGCGTAAGCGAAATCATTCCAGTGATTACTCTTAATATGGTTTAGTCATGTACCAAAATCAATCTTATCTTGGCAAGTAGTAGCCCCGCCCAGCCACCCTCTATTTTCTCAGAGGGCATGTCGTTTGCCAAAATCAGTCTTATCTGAGCAAGTGCAAGCCCCGCCCACCCACCCATATTTTCTCAGAGGACATGTCATTTGCCAAAATGAGACTTATCTTAGCAAGTACTACCGAGAAAATAAAGGGCGGGTGGGCGGGGCTAGTCCTTTGTAAGAGAAGACTGATTTTGGCAAATGACATATTCTCTGAGAAGACAGGGGGCGGGTGGGCGGGCCTATTATTAATTACGATGCCTCTGTCGTCTGAGTCGTTTTTTTGTCTCCGAAAATAAACTTTTTCAGATTATTTAGATTAAAATTTATAATATTATTTTGAAGGTTTTAATATTTAAGGATACATTTCTTTGTTTAACGTATGTAATAAAAACATTAATTACTATTTATTTGTTTTTGAGATAACTTTATTTTTTTCACAGCTAACTACATTCTCTATTGTTTTTAGTTTTTATAGTTGGTAACAAGTTTACTTTATAAATCTTGTCCATATATTCGGTTTGTCAAAGCTTCACTGTGGTAAAATAATCAAAGATTTTCCAGAGCCACCTTTGATACCAGGATCATTTCTGCACACGTTGTGCTGAGAAATGAATAAAAACACGATCAAAGACAGCCATGGATTTTCGAAGATATGTCTTTGATTGTTGCATTTTCAAATTCATTGTAATCTGACAAAATGACTCTTCTATCAAAGATAAATCCCCAAAAATCCATGGCTGTCTGTGATCGTGTTTTGGTTGCTCTCAGTATATTCACAACGGGATCACTTTATTTATTCAAAACTACCTACTTCTATTTTTTTACTTCCCGAGCGTAAGAAAAATCATTCCATTGATGACTCTTAATATGGTTTAGTCACTTACCAAAATCAATCTTATCTTGGCAAGTAGTAGCCCCGCCCACCCACCCTCTGTTTTGTCAGAGGGTATGGCGTCTGCCAAAATCAGTCTTATCTTAGCAAGTGCTAGCCCCGCCCACCCGCCCATATTTTCTCAGAGGATATGTCATTTGCCAAAATAAGACTTATCTTAGCAAGTACTACCGAGAAAATAAAGGGTGAGTGGGCAGGGCTAGTACTTGCTAACGTAAGTCTTATTTTGGCAAATGGCATACTATGAGAAAAGGGGGGGCGGGTGGACGGGGCTAGGACTTGGTAAGACAAGACTGATTTTGGCAAATGACATATTCTCTGAGAAGACAGAGGGCGGGTGGGCGGTCCTAGTATTTGTTACGATGCGTCTGTCGTCTGAGTCGATTTTTTTATCTCCGAAAATAAACTTTTTCAGATTATTTAGATTAAAATTTATAATATTATCTTAAAGGTTTCTTTATTTAACATTTGTAATGAAATATTAATTACTATTTTTTTGTTTTTGAGGTAACTTCATTTTATTCACAGCCAACTACGTTCTCTATTTTTTTTACTAGTTGGTAACAAGTTTACTTTATAAAGCGTGTCCATATATTCGGTTGCCAAAGCTTCACTGTGGTAAAATAATCAACAAAGACATTCCAGAGTCACCTTTGATACCAGGATCATTTATGGACACGTTGTGCTGAGAAATCAATAAAAATACGATCAAAGACAGCCATGAATTTTCGAAGATATGCCTTTGATTGTTGAATTTTCAAATTCACGGTAATCTAACAAAATGACTCCTCTATCAAAGATAAATCACCAAAAATCCATGGCTACCTGTTTTTGTTGCTCTCAGTATATTCACAACGGGATCACTACTTCTATTTTTTTTTAATTCCGAGCGTAAGCGAAATCATTCCTGTGATGACTCTTAAAATGGTTCAGTCATTTACCAAAATCAATCTTATCTTGGCAAGTACTAGCCCCGCCCACCCGCCCCTATTTTTTCAGAGAGTATGGCGTTTGCCAAAATCAATCTTATCTGAGCAAGTGCTAGCCTAGCCCACCCGCCCATATTTTCTCAGAGGATATATCATTTGCCGAAATAAAACTTATCTTAGCAAGTACTACCGCGAAAATAAAGGGCGGGTGGGCGGGGCTAGTACTTGGTAAGATAAGACTGATTTTGGCAAATGACATCCTCTGGGAAAATAGGGGGCGGGTGGGCGGGCCTTGTATTTATTACGATGCGTCTATCGTCTGAATCGATTTTTTATCTCCGAAAATAAACTTTTTCAGATTATTTAGATTAAAATTTATAATATTATTTTGAAGGTTTTAATATTTAAGTATAGATTTCTTTGTTTAACGTATGTAATAAATAAAATAATTACTATTTATTTGTTTTTGAGATAACTTCATTTTTTTCACAACCAACTACATACATTCTCTATTGTTTTTATAGTTGGTAACAAGTTTACTTTATAAAGCGTGTCCATATATTCGGTTTGAGAAAGCTTCACTGTGGTAAAATAATCAAAGATTTTCCAGAGCCACCTTTGATACCAGGATCATTTATGCACACGTTGTGCTGAGAAATGAATAAAAACACGATCAAAGACAGCCATGGATTTTCGAAGATATGTCTTTGATTGTTGCATTTTCAAATTCATTGTAATCTGACAAAATGACTCTTCTATCAAAAATAAATCCCCAAAAATCCATGGCTGTCTGTGATCGTGTTTTTGTTGCTCTCAGTATATTCACAACGGGATCACTTTATTTATTCAAAACTACCTACTTCTATTTTTTTTACTTCCCGAGCGTAAGAAACATCATTCCAGTGATGACTCTTATTATGGTTTAGTTACTTACCAAAATCAATCTTATCTTGGCAAGTAGTAGCCCCGCCCACCCACCCTCTGTTTTCTCAGAGGGTATGGCGTCTGCCAAAATCAGTCTTATCTAAGCAAGTGCTAGCCCCGCCCACCCGCCCATATTTTCTCAGAGGATATGTCATTTGCCAAAATAAGACGTATCTGAGCAAGTACTACCGAGAAAATAAAGGGCGGGTGGGCGGGGCTAGTACTTGCTCCCGTAAGTCTTATTTTGGCAAACGACATATCCTCTGAGAAAGTAGGGGGTGGGCGGGCGGGGCTAGTACCTGGTAAAATAAGACTGATTTTGGCAAATGACATATCCTCTGGGAAAATAGGGGGCGGGTGGGCGGGCCTAGTATTTGTTGCGATGCGTCTGTCGACTGAGTCGATTTTTTATCTCCGAAAATAAACTTTTTCAGATTATTTTTGATTAAAATTTATAATATTATTTTGAAGGATTTAATATTTAAGGATAGATTTCTTTGTTTAACGTATGTAATAAAAAAATGAATTACTATTTATTTGTTGTTGAGATAACTTCATTTTTTCAGAGCCAGCTACGTTCTTTATTTTGTTTTATAGTTGGTAACAAGTTCACTCTATAAAGCGTATCCATAAATTCGGTTGCCAAAGCTTCACTGTGATAAAATAATCAACAAAAACATTCCAGAGCCACCTTTGACACCAAGATCATTTATGGACACGTTGTGCCGAGAAAGCAATAAAACACGATCAAAGACAGCCATGGATTTTCGAAGATATGTCTTTGATTGTTGCATTTTCAAATTCACGGTAATCTGACAAAATGACTCTTCTATCAAAGATAAATCCCTAAAAATCCATGACTGTCTGTGATCGTGTTTTTGTAGCTCTCAGTATATTCACAACGGGATCACTTTATTTATTCAAAACTACCTACTTCTACCTTTTTTTACTTCCCGAGCGTAAGCGAAATAATTCCAGTGATTACTCTTAATACGGTTTAGTCGTTTACCAAAATCAATCTTATCCTTACAAGCACTAGCCCCGCCCACCAATCCTTTATTTCCTCAGAGGGTATGGCGTTTGCCAAAATCAGTCTTATAAAAGCAAGTGCTAGGCCCGCCCACCCGCCCATATTTTCTCAGAGGATATGTCATTTGCCAAAATAAGACTTATCTTAGCAAGAACTACCGAGAAAATAAAGGGCGGGTGGGTGGGGCTAGTAGTTAGTAAGATAGGACTGATTTTGGCAAATAACATATCCTCTGAGAAAATAGGGGGTGGGTGGGCGGGACTAGTGCTTGGTAATATAAGACTAATTTTGGCAAATGATATATCCTCTGGGAGAATAGGGGGCGGGTGGGCGGGCCGAGTATTTGTTACGATGCGTCTGTCGTCTGAGTCGCTTTTTTAAGTATCTCCGAAAATAAACTTTTTCAAATTATTTGGATTAAAATTTATAATATTATCTTAAAGGTTTCTTTATTTAACATTTGTAATGAAATATTAATTACTATTTTTTTGTTTTTGAGGTAACTTCATTTTATTCACAGCCAACTACGTTCTCTATTTTTTTTACTAGTTGGTAACAAGTTTACTTTATAAAGCGTGTCCATATATTCGGTTGCCAAAGCTTCACTGTGGTAAAATAATCAACAAAGACATTCCAGAGCCACCTTTGATACCAGGATCATTTATGGACACATTGTGCCGCGAAAGCAATAAAAACACGATCAAAGACAGCCATGGATTTTCGAAGATTTGCCTTTGATTGTTGCATTTTCAAATTCACGGTAATCTAACAAAATGACTCCTCTATAAAAGATAAATCTCCAAAAATCCATGGCTATCTGTCTTTGTTGCTCTCAGTATATTCACAACGGGATCACTTTATTTATTCAAAACTAGCTACTTCTATTTTTTTTACTTCCGAGCGTAAGCGAAATCATTCCTGTGCTGACTCTTAAAATGGTTCAGTCATTTACCAAAATCAATCTTATCTTGGCAAGTACTAGCCCCGCCCACCCATCCCTTTTTTGTCAGAGAGTATGGCGTTTGCCAAAATCAGTCTTATCTGAACAAGTGCTAGCCCCGCCCACCTGCCCATATTTTCTCAGAGGATATCATTTGCCAAAATAAGACTTATCTTAGCTAGTACTACCGAGAAAATAAAGGGCGGGTGGGGGCTAGTACGTGCTAACGTAAGTCTTATTTTGGCAAATGACATATAGTCTGGGAAAATAGGGGGCGGGTGGGCGGGCCTAGTTTTTTCTAAGATGTATCTGTCGTCTCAGTCGATTTTTTATCTCCGAAAATAAACTTTTTCAGATACTTTAGATTAAAATTTATAATATTACTAGCTGACCCCATGAACTTCGTTTCACCTGCAATTTAATTTTGAATCTGCAAAACCGAATGCTTTGAAATCTTGCAGATGTTTTAGTTTTGCTCATAGGGGGTGTCTCAAAAAAAAAATCACTGAGTCAGTTTATTTTATTGATTGAATCAAGAATTGCAAAACTGAATTTTGAAATATTGCAGACGTTTTGAAGTTACTGTTTGACATGGTACGTTTTTAACCAAAATATATCTGTTTATCAAGCCCAAAAACTTGATGACGTCATCTCAAGATTTTGCCGCATAAATCCTATCTAAAATGTGCAAAATATCATCAGTATATTTTTGTAAATTTATCATTGCATTCATATTTTTCAGATTTGCTTTTACAGTGACTCAAAAAAACGTATGGATCAGTCAATTTATTTTAGAGAATAACTCAAGAGTTGCAGAAATGACATAATTAATATAATTCATAATGTTTAAATATGATAACTATTAATATGTGATAATTAAACCGAAAACCATTTTCCTAGGAACACGAGGTTAGCAAAAACAAGTTAGTTTGTTTAAACATTGTTAAATTAACCCCGAACATGCACAATTTCTGAGCGAAAATATGAAAAATAATTTTTGCAATCTCATCGTGACGTACGATGACGTCACTGTCACGTGAGCTACCTGATAGAAGGTCACATTTTTCGGTGCTCTGCGTTTAGTTTTGATTTCGGTTTGGTGGCAGCAACATCAGAGTCCGTTTTGGCTTAAAAGTAGGGCTTTTTTCACGAATTTCTAATTTATTATTAATAAACATTATGAAAATGTGTTGTATTAGTACTGTGAACACGAACGAAAATGGATATTTTTCCGAAAAGGACCGAAAACAAGGTAAGTTCGACTTCAGTTTTAATTTATCGGATTCCGTGATTCGTTCACTCGACAATATTTAAATTTTGGGAAAATTTTCGAAACGATTGAAATCGGTTGATCAAAGTTATACATTTTCACGATATAAATAAATAAATTTTAAACATAATTAATATCATTTATAATGTTTAAATATGATAAGCATCAATATATGATAATCAAACCGAGACTCGTTTTCCTACAAACCCGAAATTATTAAAAACAAATCAATTTGTTTAAACGTTGTTAAATTATCCCCGAAAATGTGCATTTTCCCGGCTAAAATATGAAAAATAATTTTTGCAGTCTCATCGTGACGTACGATGACGTCAATGTCACGTGAGCTACTTGTATAAAGGTCACGTTTTCGATCCTTTCTGTTCAGTTTTGATTCCGGTCTGGTAGCAGCAACATTGGAGCTTCGTTTTGGGTTAAAAGTAGCACGTGTTCGCGAATTTCTAATGTATTGTTAATAAATATTAGCGAAAATGTTTTGTGTTAAGTGCTGTGAACACGAAGGAAAGTGGATATTTTTCCAAAAATGCCCGTTTTTTTTTAATATGTTGTTAATAACATGCATTCAGGACTGATAAAGTACGGCTTTAGAATATACAAAGTACTGCGTTCATAATTCACAAAATACCGTATTCATCATTTTTAAAGTACGGCGTCCAAATTTACAAAATACGGTGTCCTTCACCCATGCTATCAAACCCTAGTCCTCTCTTTTAATGGCAAGACGCACTCCAGACCTCCTCGTATTGTTTGGTTCTTGCTGGGCAACAGCAACGAGCGAGCACAGTCATCGCTTTTTGGTGGCAAACGTGGAGAAATTTGTATATTGTAACTTTTGTAATTGAAGTATTTTGTACTGTATATTTTATGTGTTACTAACTTAACTTGGGTCTTGCCAATTTAGCTCCAGTGGTGCAAATGCTTTGTTTTCACGGTGCACTTGCTTGGGTATTAATTTTGCAACAGTGCATTCTTTGGTTCCGAGACTGAATTCTCCATGTCGTCAGACTTCGTGGACCTATGTCAGCTTGTCGTCTTCTCGGCATTGTAATGAACTTCATAAAACGACACAGAATTATTTTCACCGTCAATCAAATCTGTAAATTTTGTCTTGAGAATTTTAAAATATTGAAAACTTCAAATTAAATCCTCGAATAACGGTAAAGGTTGAAGTTTTGTCGAAACCAACAAAGTGAATATATATAGGTAAAAAATGTCAGATCAAAATTAATAAAAAACTTTCGCGATGTGTAACTAAATTCACTTTAAGCAAGACTTTTCTTAAAATAAACGACGTTTTTTTTTACGAAAAAACAAAGAACGATTTGAAATGCAATATACTTTTCACAATTGCACGGAAGAAATAGTTCTGTATGACACGTCAGTTAGACGACAGGTCCGTCAGGAACGCCATCTATTGAAATTAATTCGAAGTGGCGATTCCCAGACAAAATTTTTATAATTTTTTGATTTTTTACCTGTCTTATTTTTTGTAAATTTTCTTATATACAAACCTTGTCCTGACAATAAGGAACACATAAAAAAAAGAATACTATTTATTTGTTTTTGAGATAAACTTCGTGGTCGACCACGCCTGAGAAGAAATAGGGGCGGGGGGGTATTTATTGTATTGTTTTGAGAAGTTTTATATTTGTTTTCAGTGTTAGCAACAAAGATTTTTTACATTGTTGTGTTTTTTACCCGGTTTCGGTTCTTCGGAAGCAGTGACCAGTGTAACTAGACTATACTGTAAAAACGAAATACAACAAAAACCTAAAGAAACGATAAATCAAGAAAAGAAACAAGGCGAAAATGGAATAATGTACGATGTATAACTTTCTCAAACGTTTTCGGGCTGCGGGGACTGTTTCAATAGGGTCGTTCAACAAATATAGCCTCATTCCCAAAAACATCGTTTTAACGGCGTCATACGTATAAATTTTTTCTGTATGGAATTCAAACAAGGTTTTATCATCCTGGGACATGTTTTTCCACAAAGTGCGAACATTTGTAGTGTCACATTGTACACGTCGCCTACAAAAGTTTGTAAGGACATCTATTTGTCTATATGCATTTTTATACAACGTAGCGTAACTGCAAGAAAATTATTACATAGATTATGAAGAAAATACTTCACTCTTACTTAGTGGGGTTGCCGGTACACAAAAATACGAAATCGAAAACATAAACGATGAATGTGTAAAAGGTTAACCAAACCTGGTGCCAAAATTTGCTTCGTCTGAAAGTGACTGAGGCGAACCATAGGTATTTCATCGAAGGAAATTCGAAGTAAAATGTCTCCAGGTACTCCAACAATTTTTCTAAAAGAGGAAGTTCTCATGGAAAAATTAATTGTCACTTTGGAATTATTACCACAGCTTAGACCTTCACCGGTACAGTTGTAGACCATGGTTGTGTTGAAGGAATTTTGGGCAGTTTTCCATGCTGCGGCCAGAGTAAAATTTACCACATAGTCTGCTGGGACCGTATGTACCGGGATTTCCGGATACACATTTAAAGTTCGTACAAGTCCCATGCACATCCCTTTTATTACACTCACAGCAGCAAGACTTGTGTCGTTCCAACCTTCAATAGGTTCCTGCAGCGTACTTGAAACTAAACCATTTGATTTAATAAGAACCGTTTGAAATCTGATGACGTCTTACTATTTGATGGACGTATAATTGTTGTGGGTATTAGGTCACCAGAAGTTTTGACTAAATCTTCTGTGATGGATTTTATATAGCAGTACGAGTCGTACCACCCATGCAAGAGCCTAAATTAAAAAAACAAGAAATACATATACTCCTAGTTAAAAAAACTGGCGCCCGAATTACTCACCCAGGTGTAATTTTTTCCAAAACGGAGTCGTCACACGTTTCTACTAAACTAAGCAAAGTTTCTGGTTTTATGGGTGGAGGATAAACTATTTCTTTAATATGGTTGCGAAGGCAACACGCACCTTGTGAAGAAATGTAAACAAAACCCTTCAAATAAAGTATATCATTTACAGATTAGTTTTCAAATGTCATTTATTTTTTTTACCTTGAAATTTTTCATGTCTTTAGCGAACTCCACAAGATCCCTAGTCGCTCTAACGTGCCAACTCAATTCCCTAAGACTTTGATAAAACTTAACTCTAATCGCGGCATGGATAATACAAGTCGTTTCATTTTTCAAAACCTCAATGTCTTTGTCGGTGAGTCCTAGAAAGGGCTTGTCACAGTCACCTTCCAGCAAACATATTTTTTCCCAAACATTTTTGTTTTTAATGTGGTGGAAACACTGCAACATTTTCACTACAGTCATACGATGGTACCGGTTATAGTACTTACAGGACGTTCCAAAATTTCGTTAAGTCGTTCTTGTGGGGTTTTACCCTTTTTGGGGCGCACTAGTACGAGGATTTTCTTCAAGTCCCAGCATTCTCGCAACAGTTTTTCTATGATCAGTTTGCCCAAAAACCCGGTTCCGCCCGTTATGAAAATGGTCTGGTTTTTGAAAAATTGTTTTATTTCACTGTTACTCATCGTGGCTTACTAGTAGACAAGATAGAGCAAATTTGTAATAGAGTTGTCTATAAATAGAGAAGGTGTGTATAATCGGGAATATATTTCAATATTTTTACATAGTTTGGCCCCTGATTCTTTTTGTTTTTGTTTTGTAAAAGTGACTAATATTTGATTGTTGCATTTATTTTTTTTAACCGATGCGGATTTTTTAAGTTTTCGAAAATTATTTCTCGTATGTTTCCATGCTGTTTCGCTTTGTAATAAAAATTTTTTCCTTGTTATTTAAAATTATGAGATATTTACTGAGCAATGGCATGACGGTACAGTTTTCCAATGTATTTAAATTTTGATTGGTAGCTATAACAAAAAATATTTGTAACATTCTGACTATTAGCTAACACCTGACGAAATAGGGAGCACGTATGCATTCTTATATTTGAGGAACGTTGCTACCTATTATATGCAAATGTCTAAAACGTAAGTAAAAAGACGTCAATTTGAGTAATGTATTTAACCATAATCGAGGATTTAATCAAAATTAAAAATTCAAAACTAAAAAGGATTTTTTTTAGTTTTTAGGCTAATTTTCTGGATTTCTTGGATTTATTGAATTTCTTGGTTTTTGTGGATCTTCTGGATCATTTGGATCTTTTAGATTTTGGTTCTTTTAGAACGATCTCACAAAACACATCTTCTCATATATTTGTTCATTAGTACTAATCGGAACGAGTACCCGATCTGCAAATTCACTCCAAGATCCAGAAGGTTTCAAAGAATTGAACGCTTTAAACGACAGTTCGGTATCTTTTGTCGTTTTGTAGTTGTGGCTGTTTAGATTTGAGAAAAAGCTGTTTTTTAACACACAAATGACACTATCTATATTATTTTGTCAGTACCAAACAGAATCAGTATTCGGCCTGTAAAATTACTCCCAGATCCAGAAAACTTCAGCGAATCGGGTGCTTCAAGCGACAATTCGGCTTCTTATGCCTTTTTGAAGTTATGTCCTTTAAAGTTGAGGAAAAAAAATGTTTTTTAGCTCACAAATCAAATCTTTCTATATATTGTTTCTCAGCATTAAACGGAACAAGTGTCCGTTTTGTAAATTCATTCTGAGATCGAGAAAGCTTCAAGAAATCGGATTTTCTCAATTTTTTGGATTTTCTGGGTGCTCCGGATTTTCTGGATATTCTGAATACCCTGGACTTTCTGGATCTTTTGGATTTCTTGGATTCCAAGATTTCTTGCATTTTTTGATTTTCTTGAATTTCATGGATTTCCTGGCGTGTCTGGTTTTCCTGGATTTCTTGGATTTTATTTTTTTTAGATTTCTTGAATTTCGTGGATTGCCTGGATTTTCTGGATCTTCGGGATCTTTTAGATCTTTTGGGTTTTGAATCTTTTGGGTTTTAGATCTTTTAGATTTTTTTGGATTTCTTGATTTTTGGATTTTTTGAATCTTTTGAATTTTTTGAATATTTTAAATTTTTTGGATTTATTGGATTTTTTGGGTCCTTTGTACTGTCTGGATTTTTCTGATTTCCTGGATTTTTTAGATTTTTGCTTTTTTGGATTTTCTGGATTCTTTGGATTTTTCGATTCTTTGGATTCTTTGGATTCTTCGGATTCTTCGGATTCTTGGGATTCTTTGGATTCTTTGAATTTTTGGATTCTTTGGGTTCTTTGGATTCTTTGGAATTTTGGATTCTTTGGATTCTTTGGATTCTTTGGATTCTTTGCATTCTTTGGATTCTTTGGATTTTTTGGATTCTTTGGATTCTTTGGATTCTTTAGATTCTTTGAACTCTTTGGATTCTTCGAATTCTTTGGATTCTTTGGGTTCTTCGGATTCTTTAGATTCTTTGGATTGTCTAGATTTTCCGAATTTTTTTGATTTTCTGGGTTCTTTTAATATTCCGGATTTTCTGGATTTTCTGGATCATCTGGATCTATTGGATCTTCTGAATTTTCTGAACTTCCTGGACGTTCTGGTATTTGAATTTCTTGGATTTCTTGAATTTCTTTGATTTTCTGGGTTTCCTGCTTTCCCCGGAATTCTTGGATTTTATATTTTAGTTCTTTTGTATCTTTTGAAATTTGGATCTTTTAGATTTTTTTGGATCTTTTGATTTTTGGATTTTTCTGAAATTTTTGAATTATTTTGTATTTTTTGAATTTTTTGAATTTTTTAAATTTTTTGGATTTATAGGATTTTTTAGATCTTTTGTATCCTTTGTACTGTCTGGATTTTTCTGGATTTTCTGCATTTTTTAGATTTTTGCTTTTTTGGATTTTCTGAATTTTTTGGGTTTTTTACATATTTTGGATTTCTCGGATTTATTATATTCTTTGGATTTTTTGGATTCATTGGATTCTCTGGATTCTTTGGATTGTCTAGATTTTTCTGGATTTTCTGGATTTTCCGAAATTTTTGGATTTTCTGGACTTCCCGGATTTTCTGGATTTCCTGGATTTCCTGAATTTTTTGTTTTTTTTTTTAATTTTCCAGATTTTCCGAATTTTATATTTTAGTTCTTTTGTATTTTTTGGAGTTTCTAGATTTTTTTGATTTCTTGAATTCTTTGGATTCTTTGAATTCTTTGGATGCTTTGGATTCTTTGGATGCTTTGGATTCTTTGGATTCTTTGGATACTTTGGATTCTTTGGATTCTTTGGACTCTTTGGAATCTTTGGATTCTTTGGATTCTTTGGATTATTTAGATTCTTTGGATTGTCTAGATTTTCAGGATTTTCAGGATTTTCCGAATTCTCTGGATTTTCTGGATTTTCTGGATCTTTTCGATTTCTTGGATTTCTTGGATTACTTGCATTTCTTGATTTTCTTGAATTTCATGGATCTTTCAGATTTTTTTGGATTTTTTGATTTTTGAATTTTTGAATTTTTTGGATTTATTGGAATTTTTGTATCCTTTGGATCCTTTGTACTGTCTGAATTTTTCTGGATTTTTTAGATTTTTGCTTTTTTGGATTTTCTGGATTTTTTGGACTTTTTGGTTATTTTGGATTTTTTGGATTTATTATAGATAGATAAGTTTATTGCACAACAGTACAAACGGTTAGTTAACAGTTATATTCTTTGGGTTCTTTGGGTGCTTTGGATTGTCTACATTTTTCTGGATTTTCTGGATTTTCCGAACTTTTTAGATTTCCTGGATTTCCTGGATTTTCTGGATTTCCTGGATTTTCTGGATTTTCTGTTTTTTTTTTAATTTTCCGCATTTTCCGGATTTTCTGGATCTTCTGGATCTTTTGGATCTTCTGGATTTTCTGAACTGTCTGGACGTTCTGGATGCTTCGGATTTTCTGGGATTTCTTGAATTTCTTTGATTTCTGGGCTTTTTGCTTTCCCTGGAATTCTTGATTCTTGATTTCTTAATTCTTTTGTGTCTTTTGAGATTTGGATCTTTTAGAGTTTTTTTCATCTTTTGATCTTTGGATTTTTCTGAAATTTTTGAATTTTTTTGAATTTTTTGAATTCTTTGGATTCTTTGGATTCTTTGGATTCTTTGGATTCTTTGGATTCTTTGGATTCTTTGGATTCTTTGGATTCTTTGGATTCTTTGGATTCTTTGGATTCTTTGGATTCTTTGGGTTTTTTGGATTCTTTAGATTCTTTGGATTGTCTAAATTTTTTCTGGATTTTCTGGATTTTCTCGATTTTCTGGATGCTCCGGATTTTGTGGATATTTCGGAAACCCTGGATTTTCTGGATCTTTTGGATTTCTTAAATTTCTTGCATTTCTTGATTTTCTTGAATTTCATGGATCTCCTGGATTTTCTGGTTCTCCTGGAATTCTTGGATTTTATTTTTTTTTTTAGATTTTTTGAATTCCCTAATTGCCTTGATTTTCTGGATCTTCTGGATCTTTTAGATTTTTTGGGTTTTAGATCTTTCAGATTTTTTGTATTTTTTGATCTTTGGATTTTTCTGAAATTTTTGAATTTTTTTGAATTTTTTGAATTTTTTGAATTCTTTGTATTCTTTGGATTCTTTGGATTCTTTGGATTCTTTGGATTCTTTGGATTCTTTGGATTCTTTGGATTCTTTGGATTCTTTGGATTCTTTGTATTCTTTGGATTCTTTGGATTCTTTGGATTCTTTGGATTCTTTGGATTCTTTGGATTCTTTGGATTCTTTGGATTCTTTGGATTCTTTGGATTCTTTGGATTCTTTGGATTCTTTGGATTCTTTGGATTCTTTGGATTCTTTGGATTCTTTGGATTCTTTGGATTCTTTGGGTTTTTTGGATTCTTTAGATTCTTTGGATTGTCTAGATTTTTTCTGGATTTTCTAGATTTTCCGAATTTTTTGGAAGTTCTGCATTTTCTCGATTTTCTGGATGCTCCGGATTTTCTGGATCTTTTGGATTTCTTGGATTTCTTGCATTTCTTGATTTTCTTGAATTTCATGGATCTCCTGGATTTTCTGGTTCTCCTGGAATTCTTGGATTTTATTTTTTTTTAATTTTTTGAATTTCCTAGATTGCCTTGATTTTCTGGATCTTCTGGATCTTTTAGATCTTTTGGGTTTTAGATCTTTCAGATTTTTTGGATTTTTTCTTCTTTGGATTTTTTGAATTTTCTAAATTTTTTAAATTTTTTGGATTTATTGGATTTATTGGATTTTTTGGATCCTTTGGATCCTTTGTAGGATCTGGATTTTTCTGGATTTCTTGGATTTATTATATTTTTTGGATTCTTTGGATTTTTTGGATTGTCTACATTTTTCTGGATTTTCTGGATTTTCTGTTTTTTTTATTTTCCCAATTTTCCGGATTTTCTAGATCTTCTGGATCTCCTGGATTTTCTGAACTTTCTGGACGTTATGAATGCTCCGGATTTTCTGGTATTTGAATTTCTTGGATTTTCTGGATTTTTTTGGTTTTTTGGATTCTTTGGATTCTTTGGGTTTTTTGGATTCTCTAGATTCTTTGGATTGTCTAGATTTTTCTGAATTTTCCGATTTTTTTGGTTTTTCTGGATTTTCTGGATGCTCCGGATTTTCCTGATATTCTGGATACCCTGGATTTTCTGGATCTTCGGATTTCCTGGGTTTGTTGGATTTCTTAAATTTCTTGCATTTTTTGATTTTCTTGAATTTCATGGATTTCCCGGATTTTCTGGTTTCCCTGGAATTTTTGGATTTTATTTGTTTCAGATTTCTTGAATTTCCTGGATTGCCTGGATTTTCTAGATGTTCTGGATCTTTTAGATCTTTTAGGTTTTGAATCTTTTGAGTTTTGGATCTTTCAGGTTTTTTTGGAGTTGTTGATTTTTGGATTTTTTTTAATTCTTTGAATTTTTTGGATTTATTGAATTTTTTGGATCCTTTCGATCCTTTGTACTGTCTGTATACTTTGGATTTCTTGGATTTATTATATTCTTTAGATTCTTTGCATTCTCTGGATTCTCTGGATTCCCTGGATTCTCTGGATTTTCTGGATTCTTTGGTTTCTTTGGATTCTTTGGATTCTTTGGATTTTTGGATTCTTTGGATTCTTTGAATTCTTTGGATTCTTTGGATTCATTGGATTCTTTGGATTCTTTGGATTCTTTGGATGCTTTGGTTTTTTGGATTCTTTGGATTTTTTAGATTCCTTGGATTGTCTAGATTTTTCTGGATTTTCTGGATTTCCTGGATTTTCTGGATTTTATGTTTTTTTAATTTTCCGGATTTTCTGGATCTTCTGGATCTTTTGTACCTCCTGGATTTTCTGAACTTTCTGGACGTTCTGGGTGCTCCGGATTTTCTGGTATTTGAATTTCTTGGATTTCTTGAATTTCTTTGAATTCCTGGGCTTCCTGCTTTCCCCGGAATTCTTGATTTTATTTTTTAGTTCTTTTGTATCTTTTGAGATTTGGATCTTTCAGATTTTTTTGGATCTTTTGATTTTTGGATTTTCCTGGAATTTTTGAATTTGTTTGAATTTTTTGAATTTTTTGAATTCGTTGTATTTTTTAAATTTCTTGGATTTATAGGATTTTTTGGATCCTTTGGATCCTTTGTACTGCCTGGAGTTTTCTGGATTTTTTGGATTTTTGCTTTTTTGGATTTTCTGGATATTTTTGATTTTTTGGATTCTTTGGATTCTTTGGATTCTTTCGATTCTTTGGGTTCTTTGGATGCTTCAATTTCTTTGAATTGTTTAGATTTTTCTGGATTTGCTGATTTTTTTTGATTTTCTGTATTTTTTTAATTTTCCGGATTTTCTGGATTTCCTGGGCTTCCTGCTTTCCCCAGATTTCTTGGCTTTTATTTTTTAGTTCTTTTGTATCTTTTGAGATTTGGATCTTTTAGGTTTTTTTGGATTTTTTTCAATTTTCTAGATTTTTTGTCAGTACAAAACAGAATGAGTATCCGTACTGTAAATTTGCTTCAAGATCAGAAAGCTTTAAAGAATCGGGCGCTTCTTGTGCCATTTTGGAGTTAGGTCCTTTAAAGTTAAGAAAAAGCTGTGTTTAGCTTAAAAATGACACCTACCGAAATATTAGTTTCTCAAATATCCGGTTTGTAAATCTACTTCAAGATCTAGAAAAGTCCAAGGAATTGGGTGCTTCAAACGACAATTAGGAGTGGCTCTTTACAAATGACACTTTCTTAGTTTCTCAGTATCCATCCCCACCAAAATTTTGATGACGTTATTTAGAAATGTGCTGAGTGATTACTATTTAAGATATCAACTTCACAAACGACAAAAGTTGATATCTTAATTCACTTCAGGCCAATTTTTCAACAACGCATTATCATAACCCTGCAATAATCATCACTATTCACAAAAGTGGGTCAATGTAACATGTAATAACCATTTTCAAATACTCAATAAAAACGATTAGAAAATAGAAGCATTGGTAAAAAATCTTCCCCACAAGATTTAATCTATTTCTGAATTCGATGACTAAATGGAAAACCCATCCTTCAACAACAAAAACAAATTTGTTTTCGCATGCATCCTCCAAACAAAAGTTCCAACGTGATCCCCCCGACCCATTCCAATTACCACCGATGACACATATCTCCAAATGAGGACACAAGTATTATTCTCAGCAGCCACAATAAAATTATTTCATTCTACATTAACAAAACCGTCGGATATACAAATTAAATATAATTTTCGTCACAATATTCCATCTCGTTATAAATATTTGCTTCCGTCGATATGTTACGCCCAGTACACCCAAAACTCTCCACTCGCAAATTTCCCCTGCAATAGTACGGTTTGATCATGGTCCCTACAGCTTGGTTGGTACTCGTCACTTTAATTATCACTCCTACGAAAACGAAATCAGAACAAGTTGGTACTGGTTTCTGTAGAACTTCTGAAAATGATCCTGGAAGATGCATCGAGTCGAATTTGTGTCCCTATTCTAAGGATACGTGCGGCGAGGACAGGGTTTGCTGTCCCATGATGCAGAAAATAGTGACCCCGAATTCTAGCCCGAGCCCTATAGTACCGACGAGTTCGGCACCTATAGTACAACCTATAACGATACGTAAGCTTGGTGGAGAGTTCTAACGAAATTCTAAAAGTGTTGTAGTTCCAGTTCCGATTCCAGAAGTTACTACGAAGATGTCTGTGGCGAATAGCGCAGAAGCCAGTAAGTACTACTTAGGTTCTAGGAAACACTATAGGTTTGTTTTTCAGAGTGTGAAGAATACAAACACAGGGTGAAGAAGAGGGCTTCCATTATTACTTACGTGTTTGGTGGTACTGCGTCCCTTGGGAAAGAATTTCCACACATGGTTGGTACCCACACTGGTGATTTTGATAATAATTGTTGTACTATTATTTCAGGCAATCCTTGGCTATGGAATACCCGAAAAGATCGAGTGGTTGTGTGGTGGTAGTTTAATTAGTGACCAGTTTGTCTTAACAGCAGCTCACTGTCTAGTAACCTCGAACTTGTAAGTTCTAATAAGTACTTGAACCATTGTGGATGTTTTTTTTTTTTGTAGAGGTGATCTAATTCGGGTACGCTTAGGTGAATTAGATCTGCAAAGTGTGTCTGATGATGCTAACCCTCAAGATTTTGGTATATCGGGGAAGTACGTGCACCCGAATTACCACCCGCCATCTCAGTACAACGACATAGCACTTTTGAAATTGGATCGACAGGTGCAATTTAGTGATTATATTGCCCCGATTTGTCTCCAAGTGAACAGGAATTTGCCTAATGCCAATTTCATTGCTACTGGGTGGGGGAGGACGGAACTCGGTGGGTCCCAGAGCGATATTCTAATGAAAGTAGATTTGGAGTACTTTCCTAATGAGGTGTGTCAAAGGAACTACGACGACGTCGCTTTGGAGAGTCTCTCCAGAGGGATCGTCGACGATACGCAAATTTGCGCCGGGAGTCGCCAGGAAGAAAAGGACACTTGTCAGGTAACAACTGCTCATTTATTGGTAACTGGATACATCGATCAACCATCTAACCATACACCCAACCATTACAGGGTGATTCCGGCGGGCCTCTCCAAATCCGGGATGACGCTTTGTACTTGGTAGGGATCACATCCTTCGGGAAGGCTTGCGGTGTCGTCAACAGCCCCGCAGTGTACACCAGAGTGTCCTACTACGTCCCATGGGTCGAGGGAATAGTTTGGTCTTAAAGCCTGCACTCTCAACATTTTCGCTTATTTATACAAATTCATATACGTGAGGTCAGGGTAAACAACAATAAATGATTTACGTCAGACACTTGATGATATCCTTCAACACCCCTTCGTCCTTGTATGCGATGATCCCTCCGGTGTTGCAAGTGGTGTCGATTCCGTAGGTCACGCTGACCGGGTCTTTGTCGAGCGCGGAAGCGTAGACCACGATGTCGCCGTCGAGCGACCGGAGGATGGCCTGCGGGCCGCAGGTGTCCCATTTGAAGGTCGAGTCTTTGGTGAGGACGTAAGCGTCGGCGAAGCCGGTGATGACGGTCAGGATTTTGTAGCCGGCGCCGGAGGCTTCGGTTATGTGGTAGCCGGTTTCTTTGAGTTTTTTGACCACGGTGGGGTCCTCGCTGCTGCTGACACAGATCGTGCCGGGGAGGGGCGAGATGGGGGGGAGGCTGGTCTCGCTGGGGTGGCCCCAGTAGCATCTGCCAAACCATCTGGAAAAAGGTCGGAGGATTAGATATGGATCTTTTCTCGGGAATGAGCGGTCGGTCACAAGGGTCAAGGGCAAGAACAGTCGAAAGGGTTTTGGTCCTTACAGTTAAAAACAGGTGGCCATGGAAGCGGGAAAATCGAGGAAGTTATGGTCGAGAAAAGAATAATTCCAGAGAAATATGTGTTTAAAAAAGTTTGAGGTATTCTGGAACTGGATATGATAGAGGGTCAAAAAATTGATGTTAACGTGAGCTCAAGAGGACTATAGAGAGTTCTGTGGGGGAAATAAAGACAGGTTAGGTCAGGTCAGGTCAGGTTAGGTCTGGTCTGTATTTTCTAGAATATTTATGACATGCGATAAATTTAGGTTATGTTTTGGATACACTTTGCAAATTTAATAATGTCAATTATCTGTTAATTTTGACAGCTGACAACCGGAAATTATAGAAAACGTCATGATACCAATTTCAGCTAAAAATCCAGGTTTGCCAACACTCAGTCATTTCTGATCAGCGATAGTTGGAGATAAAGTCCCTAGATCTATAGGGACTTTAATTGGAAATCCCTTGTCGCTGGTTTTTGAAGTAGTTTGAAGGAATTTCGGGCATTAGAAGATCGATAAACCGAAAAACCTAGAAATCGCAATGTCGAGAAGTGTAAAAACAGGAAAATCGAGAAATCAAAATAATATAAAATCGAAAAATCAAAAAATTGAAAAATCTGAAAATTAGCAACTTTAACAATCGAAAAATATATCATTAAAAAAAGTTAAACTTTAAAAAATTGAAAAATTTCAAATTTAAAGATTTGAAACGTAAAAACTGAAAAATCGAAATATCAAAAAATCAAAAAATTTAAAACAGAAAATGTTGAAAAATCCCAAAACTGACATCGTTGAAGGATTGAAAAACCGAAAAATCGAGAAATCGAGAATTGGGAAAATCAAAAAACCTAAAAGTCGAATGGCCAAAAAATAATCGTACAGTTGAAAACCGATAAGTCGAAAATCGCGAAAAATTTAAGAATAGGAAAATTGATAAATCGAAGAATGAAAAATCGAGAAATCGAAAATTTAAAAAAAATCAAGAAACTGTGAAGAATCGAAAAATTGAAAAATTGAGAAAGCGGAAAGTCGGAAAATAAAAAATTTTAAAGATAAAAAAATTAAATGATTATAAAACCGCAAAAATCGAAAACTCAAAAATTTTTGAAAACGAAAAATTCAAAAACTGAAAAATCTTACCCTCGGTTTTGGGTCGAGGAATTGAAGCCATTAAAAATTGAAAAATCTAAAATTTAAAGATTTTAAAAATTCAAATATCGAAAAATTGAAAAATCGAAATATCAAAATCATAATAGGTATTTAAAAAATCGAAAAATTGAAAAATCGAGAAATCAAAGTATCAAAAAATCGAAAAATTAAAAAATCAAAATATTAAAAAATCCCAAAACTAAAATATTGGAAAATTGATATATCGACAAATCGAAAAATTGAAAAACCAATAAGTCGAAAATCGCGAAAAATTTAAGAATAGGAAAATTGAAAAATCGAAAAACCGATTAATCGGGAAATCATAATTGAAAAACGCCATAAATCGAAAAATTGAGAAAGCGAAAAATGAAAAATCAAGAAATCGAAAATTAAAAAAAAATCAAGAAACTGTGAAGAATCGAAAAATTGAAAAATTGAGAAAGCGGAAAGTCGAAAAATAAAAAATTTTAAAGATGAAAAAATTAAATGATTATAAAACCGCAAAAATCGAAAACTCAAAAATTTTTGAAAACGAAAAATTCAAAAATTGAAAAATCTTACCCTCGGTTTTGGTTCGAGAAATTGAAACATTAAAAATTGAAAAATTTAAAATTTAAAGATTTTAAAAATTCAAATATCGAAAAATTAAAAAATCGAAATATCAAAATCATAATAGGTATTTAAAAAATCGAAAAATTGAAAAATCGAGAAATCAAAGTATCAAAAAATCGAAAAATTAAAAAATCAAAATATTAAAAAATCCCAAAACTAAAATTTTGGAAAATTGATAGATCGACAAATCGAAAAATTGAAAAACCAATAAGTCGAAAATCGCGAAAAATTTAAGAATAGGAAAATTGAAAAATCGAAAAACCGATTAATCGGGAAATCAAAAATTGAAAAACGCCATAAATCGAAAAATTGAGAAAGCGAAAAATGAAAAATGAAAAAATCGAAAATTTAAAAAAATCAAGGAACTGAAGAATCCAAAAATTGAAAAATTGAGAAAGCGGAAAATCGAAAAATAAAAAAATTTAAAAATGGAAAAATTAAATGAATAAAAAACCGAAAAAATCGAAAACACAAAAATTTTTGAAAACGAAAAGTTCAAAAACTGAAAAATCTTACCCTCGGTTTTGGATCGAGAAATTGAAACATTAAAAATTGAAAAATCTAAAATTTAAAGATTTTAAAAATTCAAATATCGAAAAATTGAAAAATCGAAATATCAAAATCATAATAGGTATTTAAAAAATCGAAAAATTGAAAAATCGAGAAATCAAAGTATCAAAAAATCGAAAAATTAAAAAATCAAAATATTAAAAAATCCCAAAACTAAAATATTGGAAAATTGATATATCGACTAATCGAAAAATTGAAAAACCAATAAGTCGAAAATCGCGAAAAATTTAAGAATAGGAAAACTGAAAAATCGAAAAACCGATTAATCGGGAAATCAAAAATTGAAAAACGCCATAAATCGAAAAATTGAGAAAGCGAAAAATGAAAAATCAAGAAATCGAAAATTTAAAAAAAATCAAGAAACTGTGAAGAATCGAAAAATTGAAAAATTGAGAAAGCGGAAAGTCGAAAAATAAAAAATTTTAATGATGAAAAAATTAAATGATTATAAAACCGCAAAAATCGAAAACTCAAAAATTTTTGAAAACGAAAAATTCAAAAACTGAAAAATCTTACCCTCGGTTTTGGATCGAGAAATTGAAACATTAAAAATTGAAAAATCTAAAATTTAAAGATTTTAAAAATTCAAATATCGAAAAATTGAAAAATCGAAATATCAAAATCATAATAGGTATTTAAAAAATCGAAAAATCGAAAAATGGAGAAATCAAAGTATCAAAAAATCGAAAAATTAAAAAATCTAAATATTAAAAAATCCCAAAACTAAAATATTGGAAAATTGATATATCGACAAATCGAAAAATTGAAAAACCAATAAGTCGAAAATCGCGAAAAATTTAAGAATAGGAAAATTGAAAAATCGAAAAACCGATTAATCGGGAAATCATAATTGAAAAACCCCATAAATCGAAAAATTGAGAAAGCGAAAAATGAAAAATTAAGAAATCGAAAATTTAAAAAAATCAAGAAACTGTGAAGAATCGAAAAATTGAAAAATTGAGAAAGCGGAAAATCGAAAAATAAAAAAAATTAAAAATGGAAAAATTAAATGAATAAAAAACCGAAAAAATCGAAAACTCAAAAATTTCTGGAAACGAAAAATTAAAAAACTGAAAAATCTTACCCTAGGTTTTTGGATCGAGAAATTGAAGCCATTAAAAATTGAAAAATCTAAAATTTAAAGATTCGAAAAATTCAAATATCGAAACATTGAAAAATCGAAATACCAAAATCATAATAAGTATTTAAAAAATCGAAAAATTGAAAAATCGAGAAATCAAAGTATCAAAAAATCGCAAAATTGAAAAATCAAAATATTAAAAAATCCCAAAACTAAAATATCGGAAAATTAATAGATCGACAAATCGAAAAATTGAAAAACTGAAAAATCAAGAAATCGAAAAATGGGAAAATCAAAGTATCTAATAAAAGTCGAAAAGTCATAAAATGTTGTAATTAAAAACTCGAAAATTCTAAAGCCGATAAGTCAAAAATCCAAATAACTATTTAAGAATAGAAAAATTGAAAAATCGAGAAATCGAGCCGTCGAGCAATCGAAAAGTCGAAACGTCAAAAAATCGATTAATCGGGAAATCAAGGATTTAGAAACGCTATAATTATTAAATATTATTATTATTATTATTATTAATTGAAAAATCGTAAAACGGAAATATCGGAAAATTGAAAAATTGAAAAACTGAAAAATAGAAAAATCATATCATATATTTAAAAAATCGAAAATTTGAAAAATCGAGAAGTCAAAACATCAAACAATGGAAATATTGAAAAATTCCAAAATTGAAATATTGGAAAATTTATAAATTGCTTAATCGTAAAATTGAAGAATTGAAAAACTGAAAAATCGAGAAATCGAAAAATGGGAAAATCAAAAATTTAGAAACGCTATAAAGTGAAAAATCGTAAAACGGAAATATCTGAAAAATGAGAAATCGAAAAATAAAAAATTGGGAAATCGAAAAACGAAAAATAAAAATTCAAAAACCTGAAAAATCGAAAGATTGAAGAATTGAAAAGCTGAAAAATCGAGAAATCGAGACGTTGAACAATCGAAGTGTCGATAAATCGAAAAGTCCAGAAATAGAAAAATAAAAAAATCTAAAAGTCAAAAAGCCAAAAAATCGAAAATTCAATCAATCTGGAAGTGAAAAATTTAAAAACGCCAAAAATTAAAATATTGAAAAATCGCAAATTTCTGTTTTTCCGGAAAATTCAAAAACCAAAAAATATAAAAATTGAAAAACCAAACATTTTAAAAATTGGAAAACTGAAAATCTAGCTGTCAAGCAACCGAAAAGTCGAAAAATAAAAACATCGATTAATCGGGAAATCAAAAATTTAGAAACGCCATAAATTGAAAAATCGTAAAACGGAAATATGTAATAGAAAATTGAGAAATTGAAAAATTCGAGAAATCGAAAATTAAAAAAAATGAAGAACTTGAAGAATCGAAAAATTGAAAAATTGAAAAATCAGAAAGTCTAAAAATTGAAAATTTTAAAAATCGAAAAATTAAAAAATCAAAAAATTTAAAAACCGAAAAATTGTAAAATTGAAAAAGCAAAAATTTTAAAAATATAAAAATTGAAAAACTGAAAAATTAAGGAATCAAGAAACGAGAAGATAAAAAATTCTAAAAGTCGAAACGTCAAAAAATCCTACAAATGAAAACCCGAAAAATTTAAAATGAGAAGTCTAAAATCGAAAAATTTAAGAATAGAAAAACTGAAAAATTGAGATATAATCGAAAAGCTGAATAGTCAATTGAACACTCGGTAAGTCGAGAAATGGGAAAATCAAAATATTTAAATGTCGGAAAGTCAAAAAATTGGAAAATCAAAAATTTAGAAACGCCATAAATTGAAAAATCTTGAAACAGAAATATGTATTAGAAAAATTGAAAACTCGAAAAATTCGAGAAATCGAAAGTTAAAATAAAAATGAAGAACTTGAAGAATCGAAAAATTGAAAAATGGAAAAATGATTAAGTCGAAAACTGAAAATTTTAAAAATTGAAAAATTAAAAAATCAAAAAATTTAAAAACCGAAAAATCAAAATAGGAATCAAGAAACGAAAAAATCAAAAATTCTAAAAGTCGAAAAATTTTAAATGAGAAGTCGAAAATCGAAAAATTTATGAATAGAAAAATTGAAAAATTGAGAAATAATCGAAAAGCTGAAAAGTCAAAAACGATACGTAAGCTTGGTGGGGAGTTGTAACGAAATTCTAAAAGTGTTGTAGTTCCAGTTCCGATTACAGAAGTTACGACGAAGATGTCTGTGGCGAATAGCGCAGAAGCTAGTAAGTACTACCTAGGTTCCGGGAAACACTACAGGTTGGTTTTTCAGAGTGTGAAGAATACAAACACAGGGTGAAGAAGAGGGCTTCCATTATTACTTACGTGTTTGGTGGTACTGCGTCACTTGGGAAAGAATTTCCACACATGGTTGGTACCCACTCTGGTGATTTGGATAATAATTGTTCTACTATTATTTCAGGCAATCCTTGGCTATGGAATACCCGAAAAGATCGACTGGTTGTGTGGTGGTAGTTTAATTAGTGACCAGTTTGTCTTAACAGCAGCTCATTGTCTAGTAACCTCGAACTTGTAAGTTCTATTAAGTACTTGAACCATTGTGGATGTTTTTTTTTTGTAGAGGTGATCTAATTCGGGTACGCTTAGGTGAATTAGATCTGCAAAGTGTGTCTGATGATGCTAACCCTCAAGATTTTGGCATATCGGGGAAGTACGTGCACCCGAATTACCACCCGCCATCTCAGTACAACGACATAGCACTTTTGAAATTGGATCGACAGGTGCAATTTAGCGATTATATTGCCCCGATTTGTCTCCAAGTGAACAGGAATTTGCCTAATGCCAATTTCATTGCTACTGGGTGGGGCAGGACGGAACTCGGAGGCTCCCAAAGCGATATTTTAATGAAAGTAGACTTGGAGTACTTTCCTAATGAGGTGTGTCAAAGGAACTACGACGACGTCGCTTTGGAGAGTCTCTCCAGAGGGATCGTCGACGATACGCAAATTTGCGCCGGGAGTCGCCAGGAAGAGAAGGACACTTGTCAGGTAACAACTGCTCATTTATTGGTAACTGGATACATCGATCAACCATCTAACCATACACCAAACCATTACAGGGTGATTCCGGCTGGCCTCTCCAAATCCGGGATGACGCTTTGTACTTGGTAGGGATCACATCCTTCGGGAAGGCTTGCGGTGTCGTCAACAGCCCCGCAGTGTACACCAGAGTGTCCTACTACGTCCCATGGGTCGAGGGAATAGTTTGGTCTTAAAGCCTGCACTCTCAACATTTTCGCTTATTTATACAAATTCATATACGTGAGGTCAGGGTAAACAACAATAAATGATTTACGTCAGACACTTGATGATATCCTTCAACACCCCTTCGTCCTTGTATGCGATGATCCCTCCGGTGTTGCAAGTGGTGTCGATTCCGTAGGTCACGCTGACCGGGTCTTTGTCGAGCGCGGAAGCGTAGACCACGATGTCGCCGTCGAGTGACCGGAGGATGGCCTGCGGGCCGCAGGTGTCCCATTTGAAGGTCGAGTCTTTGGTGAGGACGTAAGCGTCGGCGAAGCCGGTGATGACGGTCAAGATTTTTTAGATCTATAGGGATTTTTTGAAGTAGTTTGAAAGAATCTCGGGGATTAGAAGATCGATAAACCAAAAAACCTAGAAATCGCAAAGTCGAGAAGTGGAAAAACAGAAAAATCGAGGAATCAAAATAATATAAAATCGAAAAGTCAAAAAATTGAAACATCTGATAATTAGCAACTTTAACAATCGAAAAATATATCATTAAAAAAAGTTAAACTTTAAAAAATTGAAAAATTTCAAATTTAAAGATTTGAAAAGTAAAAACTGAAAAATCGAAATATCAAAAAATCAAAAAATTTAAAAATAGAAAATGTTGAAAAAGCCCAAAACTGACATCGGAAAATTGATAAATCGATAAATCGCAAAGTTGAAGGATTGAAAAACTGAAAAATGCAGAAATCGAGAATTGGGAAAAATCAAAAAACCTAAAAGTCGAATAGTCAAAAAATCGTACAGTTGAGAACGGATAAGTCTAAAATCGCGAAAAATTTAAGAATAGGAAAATTTAAAAATCGAAAATTTAAAAAAAATCAAGAAACTGTGAAGAATCGAAAAATTGAAAAATTGAGAAAGTGGAAAGTCGAAAAATAAAAAATTTTAAAGATGAAAAAATTAAATGATTATAAAACTGAAAAAATCGAAAACTCAAAAATTTTTGAAAACGAAAAATTCAAAAACTGAAAAATCTTACCCTCGGTTTTGGATCGAGAGATTGAAACATTAAAAATTGAAAAATCTAAAATTTAAAGATTTTAAAAATTCAGATATCGAAAAATTGAAAAACCGAAATATCAAAATCATAATATATATATATATATAATCAACTCCCATCTACCTTTCGGTGTAGGGTTACAAACTAAATAAATACATTGTAATTAAATTAATATTATTAAGTATTCCACTCTTCCCCGTGCACAAATTTACCCCACTCTTTCTTATTTCTTGCCATTTCTTTCGCTTCTATCCATGTTTTCCCTCTCTTGCGTAGACTTTTTTGTATTGTGTTGTTCCATGTCTCTTGGGGTCTTCCTCTGCTTCTTCTTCCTTGAACTTTTGCTTGCCATACTTGTTTAGCGGCTCTATCTGCATTCATTCTCTGTACATGTCCCCACCAACTTAATTGTTTGTTTTCTATTGCGTCCATCAGTTTTTTGCTTTGTAATTGTTCTCTTATTTGGCTACTTCTTATATGATCTCTTAACGTTACTCCTATGACTCGTCTTAGATATTTCATTTCGTTCGCTTCTAGTCTGCTTTTCATTTTTTGTGATAAAACCCACGTCTCGCATCCATACGTTAAAGTAGGTAGGTATATCGTTTTATATACACTCATTTTCGTTTTCTGGCTTATTTCCCTTTTGTTTATGAATGTGTTATTGATTGCGTAGTATAGTTTGTTACATTTTTCGATTCTTTCTGTAATATCTGCCTCTTGTCTCCCTGTATCGTCTATTGTTACCCCCAAATAGTTGAAATGTTTTACTTGTTCTAGCTTCCTTCCATTTATACTTATGTTTATTTGTTTTGTTTGCTTACCTATTGCCATTACTTTAGTTTTTTCTACATTTATTTTCATTTTCTTTCTAGTTAGTTCTTCATCCCATATACTTAAATTCCTTTGTAGGTCTCTTTCGCTTCCCGCGAATATTACTATATCGTCTGCAAATGCGCATTCGGATATGTAGACAGGTAGCATTTCCCTGTATCCTACGTGTAATCTCTTGACGTTGTTGCGGCAGTTCCTCATGATTTCATCAATGAATACTGTAAAGAGTGCTGGGCTCATGACGCCTCCTTGTCTCAATCCCTCATATGTCTTGAATTCTTGTGATACATTGTTATTACTTACTACATAATTCCTGGTGTTTTTATATAAGCTTTTTATTACTTTTATCAGCTTTGGGTTAACGTCCCGCTTGTTTAAGGCGTTCCATACTTCTTCTCTCGGGACTTTGTCAAATGCCTTTTCCAAATCTATATATGCTATAAAGGCTTTTTTGTTATATTCCACTGTTTTTGTTATTACTTGTTTGAGTGTAAAGATATGATCTTGTACACTCCTGCCTTTGCGGAATCCGCTTTGTGCCTCTAACAAACTGGGTTCTATCTTTTTCTTTAATTTTTCCTCCAAAATTATTTCGTAGATTTTTAATGGTATACTTAACAAGGTTATGCCTCTATAATTGTTGCATTGTTTATTATCGCCTTTTTTATGAATCGGCACTATTTGTCCTATCTCCCAATCATCAGGAATCTTCTCCTCTTTCCATAATCTATTGTACAGCTCTAACATCATTATTTTCCCCTCGTTTCCCATCTTCTTAACCATGTCTGCCGTAATCTTGTCATGTCCGGGAGACTTTCCCACTTTTATCTTTTTTATCGCCCACTCTAATTCTTCCTTTGTTATTCCATTACTTTCTTCTTCTTGGACTTCTCTCAGTTCATCTATGCCTCTTTCTTCTACTTTGTCTGTATTTCTCTTGTTTGCTTTAGCCCCTAATAGTTCTTGGAAATACTGCCGCCATCTTTCCATTACTTCCTCTGTTTTCGTTATTATGTTTCCATCTACTCCTTTAATAGTTTCAGCTCTTGCTGTTTTTCCTTTCCTTAGTGTCTTTAGTACTTTGTAGAAAAGTTTCTGGTTGGTTTTGCTGTTAGTTTCAAGTTTTTCTCCAAATTCTTGCCAGGCTTTGTTTTTAGTTTCCTTCACCATGTTCTTTACTATATTTCTTTGCTGCTTGTATTTGTTGTATTTTTCTTCTGTTCTTTTTGTCAGATATTCTTTCCACCTCTTCTTTTTCATTTTTATTTGGTTTTGTATTTCCTCACTCCACCATGCTGTTCTTCTGTTTTTCCTATTCATTTTGCTCACTCCACATACGTCTCTTACTGCTGTTGTCATTATTCTCTTTAATTCTTGCCACATTTGTTCGGTGGACATACTTTTCATGTTGTCTTGTCTTTTGTGTATTTCTTTGTTGATTGCTTCTTCATATTTCTCTGCTACTTCTTGTTCTTGTAATCTGTATGCTTTTAATGTTTCTTGTTGTTCGGTTCTGTGGTCGTGTTTTCTTCCTTCATTCTCATCTTTGTTGTGTTGTTTAATTTTCCCTACTAGTAGAAAATGATCGCTGTCTATCTCTGCTCCTCTCATAACTCTTACATCTTTAATCGCCGTTCTATTACTCTTTTCAACCAATATATAGTCAATAATAGATTTTTCGTTCCTGTTTGCTACTACTCGCGTGTATTTATGTATATCTTTGTGCTCGTAGAAGGTACAAAATCATAATAGGTATTTAAAGGTATTTAAAAAATCGAAAAATTGAAAAATCGAGAAATCAAAGTATCAAAAAATCGAAAAATTAAAAAATCAAAATATTAAAAAATCCCAAAACTAAAATATTGGAAAATTGATAGATCGACAAATCGAAAAATTGAAAAACCAATAAGTCGAAAATCGCGAAAAATTTAAGAATAGGAAAATTGAAAAATCGAAAAACCGATTAATCGGGAAATCAAAAATTGAAAAACGCGATAAATCGAAAAATTGAGAAAGCGAAAAATGAAAAATTGAGAAAGCGGAAAATCGAAAAATAAAAAAAAATAAAAATGGAAAAATTAAATGAATAAATAACCGAAAAAATCGAAAACTCAAAAATTTTTGAAAACGAAAAATTAAAAAACTGAAAAATCTTACCCTCGGTTTTGGATCGAGAAATTGAAGCCATTAAAAATTGAAAAATCTAAAATTTAAAGATTCGAAAAATTCAAATATCGAAACATTGAAAAATCGAAATACCAAAATCATAATAAGTATTTAAAAAATCGAAAAATTGAAAAATCGAGAAATCAAAGTATCAAAAATCGAAAAATTAAAAGTCAAAATATTAAAAAATCCCAAAACTAAAATATCAGAAAATTGATCGACAAATCAAAAAATTGAATAATGGGAAAATCAAATAATCTAAAAGTCGAAAAGTCAAAAAAATGCGAAAAATGAAAAATCGAGAAATCGAAAATTTAAAAAAAATCAAGAAACTGTGAAGAATCGAAATATTCAGAAAGCGGAAAGTCGAAAAATAAAAAATTTTAAAAATGAAAAAATTAAATGATTAAAAAAACCGAAAAAATCGAAAACTCAAAAATTTTTTAAAACGAAAAATTAAAAAACTGAAAAATCTTACCCTCGGTTTTGGATCGAGAAATTGAAACATTAAAAATTGAAAATCGAGAAAACAAAGTATCAAAAAATCGCAAAATTAAAAAATCAAAATATTAAAAAATCCCAAAACTAAAATATCGGAAAATTAATAGATCGACAAATCGAAAAATTGAAAATCTGAAAAATCAAGAAATCGAAAAATGGGAAAATCAAAGAATGTAATAAAAGTCGAAAAGTCAAAAAATGTTGTAATTAAAAACTCTAAAATTCTAAAGCCGATAAGTCAAAAATCCAAATAACTATTTAAGAATAGAAAAATTGAAAAATCGAGAAATCGAGCCGTCGAGCAATCGAAAAGTCGAAACGTCAAAAAATCGATTAATCGGGAAATCAAGGATTTAGAAACGCTATAATTATTAAATATTATTAAGACCCACCACTGACCCGGAAATGACCGGCATTCAGGCAAGACTTCTATCATTACGGGTACTAAGACCAAGTAATGATATGCATTGATTAGATTAACAGAACAACTTTCGAGATTCTAGAATTACAGCATACAAATTAGTCTGCTATTATTCTCTAATCTCACCCCATCCCCAAAAGTCCAGCGTAACTACCGACCATTTATCCGCGCATCACATGAAAAGTGACCTACACTACTCTGACCTACTGGTGCTAATCTAATCTGACTGACATGATCAGACTGTTCAAGAAACTTACGAACAATATGACATGTTCCTAACAAAACAGCTTTTTGAATTTTGACAATTATTGAATCATTCAAATGCAAAGACTTTAAATTCTCAACTAAGCTATTTGGAACTACACCTACATTAGAGATAACTAGGGGTAGAATTGAAATTTTTTTAAGATTCAACATGGATTTCATTTCTATCGATAATTGTAGATATTTTGAAATCTTGGTATCGTATGTTTGAATAATGTTGTTTGTGTTAGGAATAGCAATGTCAATGAGAATGGCTTCGTTCGTGTGTTTTTTGATAAGTATGATGTCTGGTCTGTTAGCTGTAATGTTTAAGTCTGTAAGTATTGTGCGATCCCAGTATAATTTGTATTTGTTATTTTCAAGGAATGGAGACGGAATGTAAGTGTAATAGGGTCGTATCTTCGATTAAGTTCATAAGTGTTGCTAATTCTTTGTGAATGATTTTGGCTGCGTTGTCGTGTCTAGCTTTGTAATCAGTTTGTGCTAGGATGCTGCAAGAAGAGATTATATGCTGGATCGTTTCAGGTTTTGCTTTGCATAGGCGACAGCAGTCGTTTTTTATGTTCGGATCTTTGATGATGTATTTTCTATAATTCTTGGTATTGATTACTTGGTCTTGAATAGCAAACACAAATTCTTCTGTTTCGGCATACAAACTTGATTTTTTTATTATTAATATTATTATTATTATTATTATTATTATTATTATGAATTGAAAAATCGTAAAACGGAAATACCGGAAAATTGAAAAATTGAAAAACTGAAAAATAGAAAAATCATATATATTTAAAAAATCGAAAAGTTGAAAAATCGAGAAGTCAAAACATCAAGCAATGGAAATATTGAAAAATTCCAAAATTGAAATATTGGAAAATTTATAAATTGCTTAATCGTAAAATTGAAGAATTGAAAAACTGAAAAATCAAGAAATCGAAAAATGGGAAAATCAAAGAATCTAAAAGCCGAAAAGTCAAAAAATCCTACAATTAAAAACCCAAAAATTCTAAGGCCGATAAGTCAAAAATCGAAATTTTTAAAAATAGAAAAATTGAAAAATCGAGCAATGGAAAAATAGAAACGTCAAAAAATCGATTAATCGGGAAATCGAAAATTTAGAAACGCCATAAATTGAAAATACGTAAACCGGAAATATCGGAAAATTGAGAAATCGAAAAATGAAAAATCGAGAAATCGAAAATTAAAAAAAAAATCAAGAAATTGGACAATCGATAAATTGAAAAATGGAAAAATTGGAAAGTGGAAAAATAGAAATATTCAAAAATCAAAAAATCGTATATTTAAAAAATCGAAAAATTCAAGATTCGAAAAGTTGAAAAATTAAGGACTCGAAACATCAATCAAAAAATCGAAATGTTGAAAAATCCTAAAATTAAAATATCGGAAAATTAATAGATCGACAAATCGAAAAATCGGAAAATTGGAAAACTAAAAAATCGAGAAATCGAAAAATGGGAAAATCAAGGAAGGAAAGTCGAAAAGTCAAAAAATCCCATAATTGAAAACTCGAAAATTCTAAGACCGATAAGTCGAAAATCGAAAAATTTAGGAACAGAAAAATTAAAAATTCGACTCAAGCCGTCGTCGAGCAATTGAAAGGTCGAGAAAAAGTCAAAAAATCAAAAAGTCGAAAAATCGATTCATCGGGAAATCAAAAATTTAGAAACGCTATAAAGTGAAAAATCGTAAAACGGAAATATCTGAAAATTGAGAAATCGAAAAATAAAAAATTGGGAAATCGAAAACCGAAAAATAAAAAATTCAAAAACCTGAAAAATCGAAAAATTGAAGAATTGAAAAGCTGAAAAATCGAGAAATCGAGACGTTGAGCAATCGAAAAGTCAAAAAATCGATAACTTGAGCGTCGAGCAATCGAAACATCGAAGTGTCCATAAATCGAAAAGTCCAGAAATAGAAAAATAAAAAAATCTAAAAGTCAAAAAGCCAAAAAATCGAAAAATCTAAAATTCAATCAGTCTGGAAGTGAAAAATTTAGAAACGGCAAAAATTAAAAAAATGAAAAATCGCAAATTTCCGCTTTTCCGGAAAATTCAAAAACCAAAAAATATAAAAATTGAAAAACCAAACATTTTAAAAATTGGAAAACTGAAAATCTAGCTGTCAAGCAACCGAAAAGTCGAAAAGTAAAAACATCGATTAATCGGGAAATCAAAAATTTAGAAACGCCATAAATTCATAAATTGAAAAATCGTAAAACGGAAATATGTAATAGAAAATTTAAAAATCGAAAAATTGTAAAATTGAAGAAGCAAAAATTTTAAAAATAGAAAAATTGAAAAACTGAAAAATTAAGGAATCAAGAAACAAGAAGATAAAAAATTCTAAGAGTCGAAACGTCAAAAAATCCTACAAAAAAAACCCGAAAAATTTAAAATGAGAAGTCTAAAATCGAAAAATTTAAAAATAGAAAAATTGAAAAATTGAGATATAATCGAAAAGCTGAAAAGTCAATTGAACACTCGGTAAGTCGAGAAATGGGAAAATAAAAATATTTAAATGTCGAAAAGTCAAAAAATCGGAAAATAAAAAATTTAGAAACGCCATAAATTGAAAAATCTTGAAACAGAAATATGTATTAGAAAAATTGAAAACTCGAAAAATTCGAGAAATCGAAAGTTAAAATAAAAGTGAAGAACTTGAAGAATCGAAAAACTGAAAAATGGAAAAATGAGAAAGTCGAAAATTGAAAATTTTAAAAATTGAAAAATTAAAAAATAAAAAAATTTAAAAACCGAAAAAAATTCTAAAAGTCGAAAAATTTTAAATGAGAAGTCGAAAATCAAAAATTTATGAATAGAAAAATTGAAAAATTGAGAAATAATCGAAAAGCTGAAAAGTCAAAAACGATACGTAAGATTGGTGGAGAGTTGTAACGAAATTCTAATAAAAGTGTTAGTTCCGATTACAGAGGTTACTACGAAGATGTCTGTGGCGAATAGCGCAGAAGCCAGTAAGTACTACTTAGGTTCTAGGAAACACTACAGGTTTGTTTTTCAGAGTGTGAAGAATACAAACACAGGGTGAAGAAGAGGGCTTCCATTATTACTTACGTGTTTGGTGGTATTGCGTCACTTGGGAAAGAATTTCCACACATGGTTGGTACCCACACTGGTGATTTTGATAATAATTGTTGTACTATTATTTCAGGCAATTCTTGGCTGTGGAACACCCGAAAAGATCGAGTGGTTATGTGGTGGTAGTTTAATTAGCGACCAGTTTGTCTTAACAGCAGCTCACTGTCTAGTAACCTCGAACTTGTAAGTTCTAATAAGTACTTGAACCTTTGTGGATGTTTTTTTTTTTTTTTTTTGTAGAGGTGATCTAATTCGGGTACGCTTAGGTGAATTAGACCTGCAAAGTGTGTCTGATGATGGTAACCCTCAAGACTTTGGCATATCCGGGAAGTACATGCACCCGAATTACCACCCGCCATCTCAGTACAACGACATAGCACTTTTGAAATTGGATCGACAGGTGCAATTTAGCGATTATATTGCCCCGATTTGTTTCCAAGTGAACAGGAATTTGCCTAATGCCAATTTCATTGCTACTGGGTGGGGCAGGACGGAACTCGGAGGTTCCCAAAGCGATATTTTAATTAAAGTAGACTTGGAGTACTTTCCTAATGAGGTGTGTCAAAGGAACTACGACGACGTCGCTTTGGAGAGTCTCTCCAGAGGGATCGTCGACGATACGCAAATTTGCGCCGGGAGTCGCCAGGAAGAAAAGGACACTTGTCAGGTAACAACTGCTCATTTATTGGTAACTGGATACATCGATCAACCATCTAACCATACACCCAACCATTACAGGGTGATTCCGGCGGGCCTCTCCAAATCCGGGATGACGCTTTGTACTTGGTAGGGATCACATCCTTCGGGAAGGCTTGCGGTGTCGTCAACAGCCCCGCAGTATACACCAGAGTGTCCTACTACGTCTCATGGGTCGAGGGAATAGTTTGGTCTTAAAGCCACCTGCGCTCTCAACATTTTCGCTTATTTATACAAATTCATATACGTGAGGTCAGGGTAAACAACAATAAATGATTTACGTCAGACACTTGATGATATCCTTCAGCACCCCTTCGTCCTTGTATGCGATGATCCCTCCGGTGTTGCAAGTGGTGTCGATTCCGTAGGTCACGCTGGCCGGGTCTTTGTCGAGCGCGGAAGCGTAGACGACGATGTCGCCGTCGAGCGACCGGAGGATGGCCTGCGGGCCGCAGGTGTCCCATTTGAAGGTCGAGTCTTTGGTGAGGACGTAAGCGTCGGCGAAGCCGGTGATGACGGTCAAGATTTTGTAGCCGGCGCCGGAGGCTTCGGTTATGTGGTAGCCGGTTTCTTTGAGCTTTTTGACCACGGTGGGGTCCTCGCTGCTGCTGACGCAGATCGTACCGGGGAGGGGCGAGATGGGGGGGAGGCTGGTCTCGCTGGGGTGGCCCCAGTAGCATCTGCCAAACCATCTGGAAAAAGGTCGGAGGATTAGATATGGATCTTTTCTCGGGAATGAGCGGTCGGTCACAAGGGTCAAGGGCAAGAACAGTCGAAAGGGTTTTGGTCCTTACAGTTAAAAATAGGTGGCCATGGAAGCGGGAAAATCGAGGAAGTTATGGTAATGAAATGGTCGGGAAAAGAATAATTCCAGAGAAATATGTGTTTAAAAAGTTTTTTGAGGTATTCTGGAAGTGGATAGGATAGAGGGTCAAAAAATTGATAATGTGGGTTCAAGAGGACTATAGAGAGTTCTGTGGGGAAAATAAGACAGGTTAGGTCAGGTCAGGTCAGGTCAGGTCAGGTTAGGTCTGGTCTGTATTTTCTAAAATATTTATGACATGCGAAAAATTTAGGTTTGTAAATTTAATAATGTCAACTATCTGTTAATTTTGACAGCTGACAACCGGAAATTATAGAAAACGTCATGATACCAATTTCAGCTAAAAATCCAGGTTTGCCAACACTCAGTCATTTCTGATCAGCGATAGTTGGAGATAAAGTCCCTAGATCTATAGGGACTTTAATTGGAAATCCCTTGTCGCTGGTTTTTGCAGTAGTTTGAAGGAATCTCAGGGATTGGAAGATCGAGAAACCGAAAAACCTAGAAATCGCAAAGTCGAGGAGTGGAAAACAGAAAAATCGAGAAATCAAAATAACAATAATCGAAAAATCAAAAAATTGAAAAATTGGAAAATCGGCGACTTGGAACAATTGAAAAATATGTATATCAATGAAAAAAAATTTAAACTTCAAAAAATTGAAAAATTTAAAGGTTCAAAAACTGAAAACTCGAAATATCAAAATCATATATCAAAAATCAAAAAATTTAGAAATAGAAATGTTGAAAAATCCCAAAACTGACATATCAGAAAATTGATAAATCGAAAGGTTGAAGAATCGAAAAATCTAGAAATGGAAAAATTCAAAAACTCCTACATTTGAAAACTCGAAAAATTTAAAACCGATAGGTCGAAAACAGAAAAATTTAAGAATAGGAAAATTGAAAAATCGAAAAATCGAGCCGTCGAGCAATCAACAAGTCGGAATCGATTAATCAGGATATCAAAAATTTAGAAACACCATAAATTGAAAAATCGCAGCTTTACGGTATTTCCGTTCGGAAATACCGGAAAGTTGAGAAATCGAAGAATGGACAATTGAGAAATCGAGAATTAAAAAAATCAAGAAACTGAAGGAAGAATCGAAAAACCAAAAAATTCAAAAATCGAAAACTCAAAAATTTTAAAAATCGAAAAATTGAAAAACTGAAAAATCTTAATCTCGGTTTTATATCGAGAAATTGAAACATATAAAAATTTAAAGATTTGAAAAATTGAAATATCCAAAAACTAAAAATCAAAATACCAAAATCATATATGTATTTAAAAAATCGAGAAATCACAGCATCAAAAAATCAAAAATTTCAAAACTGAAATGTCGTAAAAAATTCCAAAACTGATCTGATCGACAAATCGAGAAATCGAAAAATGGGAATATCAATTAACCTAAAAGTCGAAAAGTAAAAAAATCCTATAATTAGAAACCCGAAAATTCTAAATCCGCAAAAGCCAAAAATCGGAATATTTATGAATAAAAAAATTGAAAAATCGGGAAATCGAGCTGTCGAGCAATCGAAAAGTCCGAACGTCAAAAAATCGATTAATCGGGAAATTAAAAATTTAGAAACGCCATAAATTGAAAAATCGTAAAACGGAAATAGCCAAAATTGAGAAATCGAAAAATGAAAAATCGAAAATTTAAAAAAAAAAAACAGAAATTGAACAATTGAAAAATTGTAAAATAGGGAAATTGGAAAGTCGAAAAATAGAGAAATTCAAAAATAGAATAATCAAAAATTTTAAAAATCAAGAAATTGAAAAATTGAAAAATAGATTTATCAAAATCTTGTATGTACAACATCGAAAAATTTAAAAATCGATACGTTGAAAAACCTCAAAACTGAAATATCGGAAAATTGATAAATCGATTAATCGGAAAATTGAAGAATTGAAAAACTGGAAAATCGAGAAATCGAGAAATGGGAAAATCAAAAGACCTAAAAGTCGAATAGTCAAAAAATCGTATAGTTGAAAACCCGACAAATCTAAAACCGATAAGTCGAAAATCGCGAAAAATTTAAGAATAGGAAAATTGAAAAATCGAAAACTCGATTAATCGGGAAATCAAAAATTTAAAAACGCCATAAATTGAAAAATTGAGAAAGCGAAAAATGAAAAATCGAGAAATCGAAAATAAAAAAAAAAAAATCAAGAAACTGTGAAGAATCGAAAAATTGAAAAATTGAGAACGCAGCAAGTCGAAAAATACAAAATTTTAAAAATGAAAAAATTAAAAAACCGAAAAATTGAAAAACTGTAAACTCAAAAATTAAAAAACTGAAAAATCCTAATCTCGGTTTTGGATCGAGAAATTGAAACATTAAAAATTGAAAAATCTAAAATTTAAAGATTTGAAAAATTCAAATATCGAAAAATTGAAAAATCGAGAAATCAAAGTATCAAAAAATCGAAAAATTAAAAAATCAAAATATTAAAAAATCCCAAAATTAAAATATCGGAAAATTGATAGATCGAGCAATCGAAAATGGGAAAATCAAAGAATCTAAAAGCCGAAAAGTCAAAAAATCCTATAGTTACAACCTCGAAAATTCTAAAGCCGATAAGTCAAAAATAGAAATATTTAAGACTAGAAAAATTGAAAAATCGAGAAATCGAGCCGTCGAGCAATCGAACAGTCGAGACGTCAAAAAATCGATTAATCGGGAAATCAAGAATTTAGAAACGGCATAATTATTAAATATTATTATTATTATAAATTGAAAAGCTGAAAAATCGTTGAGCAATCGAAAAGTAAAAAAATCGAGAAATCGAGCATCGAGCAATCGAAACATCGAAGTGTCGATCAATCGAAAAGTCTAAAAATCAATTAATCTGGAAGTCAAAAATTTAGAAACGCTAAAAATTGAAAAATTGAAACTTCAAAAAGTTGAAAAATCGTAAAACGGAAATATCGAAAAATTGAAAAACTGAAAAATAGAGAAATTATATTATATATTTAAAAAATCGAAATGTTGAAAAATCGAGAAGTCAAAACATCAAAAAATCTAAAAATTTAAACATCGAAATGTTGAAAAATCCCAAAACTGAAATATCGGAAAATTGATAAATCGATTCATTGAAAAATTGAAGCATTGAAAAACTGAAAAATTGAGAAATCGGGAAATGGAAAAATCAAAAAACCTAAAAGTCGAATAGTCAAAAATCGTACAGTCGAAAACCGATAAGTCGAAAATCGCGAAAAATGTAAGAATAGGAAAATTGAAAAATTGGAAAATCGTTTAATCGGGAAATCAAAAATTGAAAAACGCCATAAATCGAAAAATTGAGAAAGCGAAAAATGAAAAATCGAGAAATCGAAAATTAAAAAAAATCATGAAACTGTGAAGAAGCGAAAAATTGAAAAATTGAGAAAGCGGAAAATCGAAAAATAAAAAATTTTAAAAATGAAAAAATTAAAAACCGAAAAATCTTAATCTCGGTTTTGGAAGGAGAAATTGAAAAATCTTAAAGATTTGAAAAATTCAAATATCGAAAAATTGAGAAATCGAAATATCAAAGTATCAAAAAATCGAAAAATTAAAAAATCAAAATATTAAAAAATCCCAAAACTAAAATATCGGAAAATTGATAGATCGACAAATCGAAAAATTGAAAAACTGAAAAATCGAGAAATTGAAAAATGGGAAAATCAAAAAATCTAAAAGCCGGCAAGTCAAAAAATCCTGCAATTGAAATCTCAAAAATTTAAGAAAATTTGAAAAATTGAGAAATACAGCCGTCGAGTAATCGAAAATCGAAAAGTCAAAAAATCGAAAAGTCGATTAAACGGGAAATCAAAAAATTAGAAGCGCCAGATTGAGAAATTGAGAAATAAAAAATTGAGAGCAATCGAAAATTAAAAAAAAAACAGGCTATTGAAAAATAAAAAAATATAAAAACCGAAAAATTCAAAAATCGAAATACCAAAAATTGTAAAAATTGAAGAATTGGAAAAACTGAAAAGGCCAACAGAAATCGAAAAATAAAACATTGAGAAAACAAAAATTAAAAAAAAATCAAGAAACTGAAGTTGAAAAATTGAAAAAGGCAGACACCGGAAAGTCGAAAAATCGAAAATTTTAAAAATCTGAAATCAAAAAATTAAAAAGTCCAGCAGTCGAAATAGTGAAAACTCGATAAATCCAGATGCGAAAATCAAATTTAAAAGTCGAAAAGTCAAAATAACGCTAAAAAAATCGGAGGTATACGAAAAATACAAACTTTTCACAATTTTTTTTTTTCGAAGATTTTCGAATGTTCCAAGGTCTAAAGTAATTTTCCTGTGTAATTGAAAAGTCGAAAAAACGAAATATATAAAAATGAAAAAAATTAAAAATCGAAAAATTGAAGAATTGAAAAACTGAAAAAGCAAGACTTCGAGCAATGGAAAAGTCAAAAAATCGAATAATTGAAAAATCGAACAATCGAAACATCGAAGTATGGATAAATCCAGAAATAGAAAAATAAAATCTAAAAGTCAAAAAGCCAAAAAATCGAAAAATCGAAAATTCAATCAGTCTGGAAGTGAAAAATTTAGAAACGCCAAAAATTAAAAAATTGAAAAATCGCAAATTTCCGTTTTTCCGCAAAATTCAAAAACCAAAAAATTTAAAAATCGAAAAACCAAAAATTTTAAAAATTGAAAAACTGAAAATCTGAAAGATCAAGAAATCGATAAGTCGACAATCAAAAATTTAAGAAAAAAATTGAAAAATCGAGAAATTTAGCTGCCGAGCAACCGAAAAGTCGAAAAGTAAAAACATCGATTAATCGGGAAGTCAAAATTTTAGAAACGCCAAAAACTGACAAATTGAAAATTCAAAAAAATGTATACTCGTAAAACAGAAATATCGGAAAATTAAAAAAATTCAAGAAATCGAATCGAAAAATTGAAAAATGCAGAAAAATTCAAAAATTGAAAAATAAAAAATTTCAAAAATGGAAAAATTAAAAACTAAAAACTCGGTAAGTCGAGAAATGGGAAAATCAAAATATTTAAATGTTGAAAAGTCAAAAAATCGGAAAATCAAAAAAATTTAGGAACGCCAGAGAAATCGGAAGTACTACGAAAAACCAAACTTTTCAAGGTCTAAAGTAATGTTCCTGTGTAACTGTGAATTATTGGAAAAACTGAAAAATCGAAAAAACGAAAAATATAAAAATCAAAAAAATTAAAAATCGAAAAATTGAAAAATTAAAAAATTGAGAAATCGAAACATAAAAGTGTCGGTAAATCGAGAAATGGGAATATCAAAAAATATAAAAGTCGAAAAATCAATTAACCTGGAAGTCAAAAATTTAGAAACGCCAAAAACTGAAAAATTCAAAATTCAAAAAAAAGGTAAAACAGAAATATCGGAAATTTGAAAAATCGAAAGCTAAAAAATTGGGAAAACGAAACTTAAAAAAAAGAAGAAATTGAAGTCGAAAAATTGAAAAATGCAGAAATCGGAAAGTCGAAATATCGAAAATATTAAAAATCGAGAAATTGAAAAATCAAAAAATTTAAAAATCAAAAAATTGAAAAACCGACAAATCAAGAAATTGAAACGTCCAGCAGTCGAAACAATGAAAACTCCATAAATCGAGAAATAGTAAAATCAAAATATTTAAAAGTCGAAAAGTTAAAAAATCGGAAAATCAAAAATTTAAAAACGCCAAAAAAATCGTAATACGAAACTTCGAAAAACTTTTCAGTTTTTTTTCGAAGATTTTTGAATGTAAATTAATTTTACTGTGTGTATTATTGGAAAAATTGGAAAGCCGAAAAAACGAAATATATAAAAATGAAAAAAATGAAAAATCGAAAAATTGAAGAATTGAAAAACTGAAAAATCAAGACTTCGAGTAATCGAAAAGTTAAAAAATCTAATAAGCGAAGTATCGATAAATCCAGAAAGTCAAAAAGTCGAAAATTCAATTAGTCTGGAAGTCAAACATTTGGAAACGCCAACTAATGAAAAATTGAAAAATCAAAAAATTGAAAAATCGAAAAACCGAAAAATCTTAATCTCGGGTTTAGATCGAGAAATATAAAGATTACATTTAAAAAATCGAAACAGTGAAAAATCGAAGAACTGAAAAATTGGAATATCAAAATCATATATTTAAAAAACGAAAAATTGAATAGAATTTAATTGAATCAAAACATCAAAAAATGGCAAATTTTAAAAATCCAAACGTTGAAAAATTCTAAAACTGAAATATGGAAAGTTGATAAATTGATAAATCGAAAAATGGAAGATTTGAAAAACTGAAAAATTGAGAAATCTAGACGTCGAACAATCGAAAAATTTAACAATAGAAAAATTGAAAAATCGAAGTCCAGCAGTCGAGCAATCGAAAAGTCGAAAAGTCATAAAATGGAAAACTCCAAAAATCGTAAAATGGAAAAATCGAAAAATTAAAAGTTTTAACAATCAAAAAACTGAATAATTAAGAAATCGAGACGTCTAGTCGCAACATGGAAAACCCGATAAATCGAAAATTGGGAAAATAAAAAAATCCGAAATTCGAGAAGTCAAAAGATCGGGAAGTGAAAAAAAGGAATAAATATTGTATCGTAAACTATAGTTTCAACGTAGTTATAATAATTATATATTCAAAAGATGTAAGTATCACGAAAAATCCAAACTTTTCACAAAAGTATCACTGACCTCCTGACCCGTCCCCATTTCAGCGTCACCGCCTACCCGAAACCCGAAGCAGTACCGTTCAGTGAAGAGCCGCGCCAAGCAGGCTACAGGTAGGAATAAACGCCAAATATTTTTCATTCCAAGTGGGCAATCAGACAAATGAGCAAAACAAAGCAACATTTCTCACATTAATCCGTACCTTCAAGAAGCTTAAAAAAATATTTGCATTTAGATAACAAACAAAATGGGTCGTAAAGTCGCCGCGGGCGGTACATAAATCACATTTTATTTAAATTCAGCGCGGAGAAACTAAATTCCAAGCAAAATAATCATTCCCACGATCCAGTATCCTTCGAAAACATAGAAACTCAGTGCGAACTGGATGAAACGTGAACATGTCACGTCTTTCGCTATTGACTCCCACCTCCGTACGAAAATAAACACCGGTTTATTTCTGGCGATGTAAAAGTACGATTTCCTCTTACTATAATTAACAGACCAAATTTACAAATGCCAAGTAAATATATACAGGCCCGACTATTTTCGGTTTCACTAAAGGGTTGGAAGAAATTTTTAAATAAGGAAAAATTATTACCGCTTGCCGTTGTTCTCCACGAACGGCTGATTGATAATCCCGATAATCGGCAGACCGGATTTCTTATCATACACACCGATTAGAACAGTGACACACTTCAAACCACTGATGGTAATTCCAGAAACGTCCACTTCCTCGACTCCGTTGATGTACTCAGCTGTGGAATCTAGAAACAGAGTAAAAATTGGGTGTTTGCGGATGATTATCGTACCAATCGGGTCAATCCAAATTCCAACGTCCTTCAAATCGATGACGAAGTCCTCGCCTGGTTTTTTCGTGTGGATGTTATCCAGCGACACTTTTTTGTGGACTTCCGTCGCCAATAATTCAGCGGCTTGCGAGTCTTCGTTTAGCACGATCTGGAGCAACGCCGCCGTCTCCTGGCGGTTTTTCTTGATTTCAACCGCAATGGTTTCCCCTAGTTTATTACTGAACGTGTTGTTTTCTTCGCCCCGGATGGAATCGACCAGTTCTGGAAACTAAACCTTTTGTTGCAATTTAATTCTACTGAGATTGTAATTCTTACTTTGTTCCCCACGTCGTGCTTGACCAGCTGCTGGATCAAAACGTCCGCCAGAGTCTTGAAATCGTCGACGAACCTTGGGTTGGCCTCATCGGCGCACTTCTTCTGGATCAGCAGTTTGAATAAATGCTCGTTTTGTCGGCATAACCGCGCCACATTGGCGGCCTTCTCCGAAACGACGATCAGCTCTTTAAGAAGGTCCATCTCTAGACATAACCTCACACCGAGATCGAATTTGTTTATTGATATTTGCGTAAAAGCGATTGTCAAAATTATTGTTATTGTTACACTGCGCGTTCGCAACGATTTCCTGCTAGCAAGAACGAGGTTTCCTGCTGGGGCCGAATTTTGCCGAAGCGTATTGATTAGGTGCGTTCGGAGGGGATCGACGCACATTGGTAAAAGTTGAATTTGAATGTTAATTTTGATGGATTTATCATAATGACGGGATTTGTGAGTGTAATGGTGTTTTAATTGGGTGTTGGTTGAGTCGGCGGTTACGAGAACGTTGCGAGTTGGAGTGGGCTTTGATAACGTTTATGTCTTTGCTTATCAGTGTGGTAGGGTCACTGAGTCGAGACGAGTGAAGGTTTTATGATACGGACGCATGACGTCATCGACTTTTTTGGAAGAAAAACTTATAAATAAATAAATAAATTAGGTACTTTACAGCTAGTGTTTTATTTTTTTTTTTTACTTGTATTTGGTTAATTATAATATCAAGAATTTCGGAAAAGATTTGTCTTAATTTGTGTTATTTATCGTTCATTTATCTTCGTTTACAAAGTTTCGGCGGTAAAAATCATTAAGTTTTTGTTGAAGTAGTTTGAAAGGATCTTTTAAGATTTTCTGTACATTAGGTATCTCAAGAATCTATCTCAAAAGGGTTTAGACTTTATAGCATCTAGAGTTTCATGATCTCTAGGACGCAAGAATCTTTAAAATCTCTGAATCTACAATTTCTGTATCTTCTAGAATTTTTGGAGTCTTTATATCTCTCAAATCATATCTCTAGAACTTTCTCAAACATCTGTCCAATCGTTACCACTACTATCTTTGAGGTTCTAGAATTTTTAAGTTCTTTAGAATATTGAGAAGTTACCGAAGTTCACGGTCACTTTATTCCTAAGAATTTGTATCAAAATCTCTGAACTTCCACAATTTTTGGAATCGCTGGAATCTTTGTATCTCCCAAATCATACCTAAGATCTTTAGAAGTTTCTCAAATATTTTTGGAATTTCAGAAATCTCAAAAAAATTGGACTTTCTGGCATCTAGAGAACCGATTTTAAAATACAGTGCATATGTCTATCTAGAATCCTTGAAATAATTATGACCTTTAGAATCTTTGGAATCTAGTATCTTTGAGGTTCTAGGATTTCTAAGTTCTTTAGTTAATTGAGAAATTACCGAATTTTACGTTCTCTACAATCTTAAGAGTTTGTCTCACCTTAAATATGTCTAGAAGACACAAGAATTTCTAAAATATCTGAATTTCTATAATGTTTGTGTCTTTTGGAAACTCTGGACTCTTCATTTCTTTCAAATCATATCTAAGATCTCTAGAAGTTTCTCAAATATTTTTGAAATTTCAATATCTAAAATATCTGTCCACTCGCTAGAATTCCTAGTCTCTAATATCTGTAGAACTTCTGAATATCTGAAATTTTTAGTATTTACATAGCTTTTCCAATCTCAAAATTCTTAAGGATCGCTGTATATCAGGTATCTCAAGAATTTCAGGAATCTCAGAAAAAAGACTTTCTGGCATCTTGGGACCAGATTTTATAAAGCATTGCATCTGTGGTATCCTTGAGAGCACTGTAATCTCTGAAATCTCCAACTAGAATACTCACTTGGAATATTTATGATCTTTAGAAATTCTGTGGAATCTAGTATCTTTGAGATCTCTGAGATTCTAGGATTTCTAGGTTCTTTAGAATTTTGAGAAGGTACCGAATTTTACGATCTCTAAAATCTTAAAGATTTGTATCACCTTAACACGTCTAGAATTTCATAATCTCTAAGGCGCAAGAATCTCTAAAATCTCTAAATCCCTACAATTTTTGGATCCTCTGGAATCTTTGGAGTCTTCATAATATCTAATATATCTAAGATCTCTAAAAGATTCTCAAATATTTTTGGAATCTCAATCTCTAAAATATCCGTCCAATCACTGGAACTGCTACAGTCTCTAAAATTTGTAGAACTTTTGAATATCTGATAATTTTAGTATTTACATTGTCCTTTATATCTCAAAATTCTTAAGGATTCCTGCATGTCAGGTATGTCAAGAATTTTAGGAATCTAAAAAAAAAATGGACTTTCTGGCATCTAGGGAACAGATTCTAAAATACATTGCATCTGTGGTATCGTTGAAAACACTGAAATCTCTAAATAGAATCCTTGGAATACTTATTTATCACCTTTAGAATTTCTGTAGTATCTTTGAGGACTCTGAAGTTCTAGGATTTCTAGGTTCTTTAGAATCTTGAGAAGTTACCGAATTTTACGATCTCTAAAATCTTAAGGATTTGTTTAATCTTAAATTTGTATACAATCTCTTTACCTCTAGGACGCGAGAAGCTCTATAATTTTTGGATCCTCTAGAATCTTTGGAGTCTTCATAATTAGTAGTATATCTAGGATATCTATAAGTATCTCAAATATTTTTGGAACATCAATCTCTAAAATATCCGTCCAACCGTTAGAACTGCTACAGTCTCTAAGATTTCTAGAATTTCTGAAATATTTAAAATTGTTAGTATTTACATTGTCTTTCATTTCTCAAAATTCGTAAGAATTGCTATATGTCAAGTATCTCAAGATATTCAGGAATCCTAAAAAAATTTGGACTTTTTGGCATCTAGGAAACAGATTTTAAAATGCATTGCATCTGTGGGATCGTTGACAACAGTGGAATCTCTGAAATCTCTAACTAGAATCCTTGGAATATTTAGGATCTTTAGAATTTCTGTAGAATCTAGTATGTTTGAGCCCTCTGAGATTCTAGGATTTCTAGGTTCTCTACCGAATTTTACGATCTCAAAAATCTTCAGGATTTATATCACCTTAAATATGTCTAAAATTTCATGATCTCTAGGACGCAATAGTCTCTAAAATTTCTGCATCTCTACAATTTTTGGATCCTCTGGAATCTTTGGAGCGTTCACAATCTCTAGTATATCTAAGGTCTCCAAAAGTTTCCCAAATATTCTTGGAATATCAATCTCTAAAGTTTCTATCCAATCGCTAGAACTCCTACAGTCTCTGGTATTTGTAGAACTTTTGAATATCTGAGATTTTTTATATTTACATAGTCATTCCAATCTCAAAGTTCTTAAATATCGCTATATGTCAGGTACCTCGAAAATTTCAAGGATATCAAAAAAATTGGACTTTTGGCATCTAGGGAACATATTTTAAAATGCGTTGGACCCCTGGTATCGTTAGGAACACTGATACCTCTGAAATCTCTAACTAGATTCCTTGGAATAATTATGACCTTTAGAATTTCTGTGGAATATAGTATCTTTAAGGTTCTAGGACTTCTAGGTTCTATAGAATATTGAGAAGTTACCGAATTTTACGATCTCTAAAATTTTAAGAATTTGTATGATTTCAAATATGTCTAGAGCACGCAAGAGTCTCTAAAATCTCTGAATTTCTACAATTTTTGGATCCTTTGAAATCATTGGAATCTTCATATCACTCAAACCAAATCTAAGATCACCTAGAAGTTTTTCATACTTTTGGAATCTCAATCTCTAAAATATCTGTCCAATCGCTAGAAATGCTAAAGTCTCTAATATTTGCATAATTTCTGAATGTTTGAAGTTTCTAGTATTTACATAGTCTTTCCAGTCTAAAAGTTCGTAGGGATGGCTTTATGCCAGGTATCTTAAGAATTTAAGGAATCTCAAAAAAAATTGTAGATTCTGGCATCTACAGAACAGGTTTTAAAATATATTGCATCTCTGGTATCGTTGGGAACACTGGTATCTTTGAAATTTCTATCTTGAATTCTTGAAATATTTATGATCTTTAGAATTTCTGTGGAAACTAGTATCTTTGAAATTCTGTAGTTAGCTGAGAAATTACCGAATTTTACGATCTCTACAATCTTAAAAGTCTGTATCACCTTAAATATGTCTAGAGGACGCAAGAATCTAAAATTTCTGAATTTCTACAATTTTGGATCTTTTGGAATCTTTGGAGTCTTTATATCTCTCAAATCATTTCTAAGATCTCTAGAAGTTTCTCAAATATTTTTGGAATCTCAATCTCTAAAATATCTGTCTACCAGTGGTGGCATTGGGAACACTGATATCTCTGAAATCTCTAACTACAATCGTTGGAATACTTATGATCTTTACAATTTCTGTGGGATTTAGTGTCTTTGAGGTTCTATAACTTCTAGGTTCGTTAGAATATTGACAAGTTCCCGGATTATACGAATTCTAAAATCTCTGAATTTCTACAATTTTTGTATGCTTTGGAATCATTGGAATCCTTATATTTCTCAAACCATTTCTAAGATCTCTACAAGTTTATGATATATTTTTATCTTTATCTTTTATCTTCATCTTTATCTTTTATCTTTATATTTTTATCTCTAAAATATCTGTCCAATCGCCATAACTGCTACATCAGTCTCTAATATTTGTAGAATTTCTCAATGTTTGAAATATTTAGTATTTATATAGTCCTTCCAATCACAAAGTTGTTAAGATCGCTGTATGTCAGGCATCTATTTCAAGAATCTAAAAAAATTTTGGTCTTCCTGGAATCTAGAGAACAGATTTTAAAATATATTGCATCTGTGGTATCGTTAGGAACACTGATATCTCTGAAATCTCTAACTAGAACCCTTGGAATATTTATGATCTTTAGTATTTCTGTAGAATCTAGTATCTTTGAGACCTCTGAGATTCTAGGATTTCTAAATTCTCTACTCAATTTTACGATCTCAAAAATCTTCAGGATTTATATCACCTTAAATATGTCTAGAATTTCATTATATCTAGAATGCAATAATCTCTAAAATTTCTGCATCTCTACAATTTTTGGATCCTCTGGAATCTTTGGAGTCTTCACAATCTCTAGTATATCTAAAATTTCTAAAAGTTTCTCTAATATTTTTGGAATGTCAATCTCTAAAGATTCTATACAATCGCTAGAACTCCTACAGACTCTAACATTTGTAGAACTTCTGAATATCTGATATTTTTAATATTTACGTAGTCCTTCTAGTCTCAATTTTTTTAAAGATCGCTGTATGTCAGGCATCTCAAAAATTTCAAGAATTTCAAAAAAGGACTTTCCTCCATTTGGGAACAGATTTTAAAATGCAATGTGGTATCGTTCGGAATACTGATATCTCTGAAATTTCTAACGAGAATCCTTGGAATATTTATGATCTTTAGAATTTCCGCGGAATCTGGTATCACTGAGTTTCTAGGATTTCCAAGTTCTTTAGAATATTGAGAAATTAACGAATTTTACGATCTCAAAA